TTATTATTGTTATCGAAAAACTGTATGCTTACATGAATGCAGAAGAAAATCAAATCAAATCGTTAGTTGTTGTTCTTAAATAGTTTGTCTGTGTGTACAAAGTGGTATAAAGTTACTTTTTACAAATCAGTTTTATGTTTTATTAGCCAGCAAGGTGTTTACGTTACTTAATGTTTATGACGTTGTTTAATGAATTGGACAGACATAGCTTTCTCGAACTGGCTGAAATCAGACTTGAGGAAGTTTTAGACATAATGGAAAAAACCACATGCATTAACAAAAGTAAGTTTCAGGTGTGTTTATATAATCTTCAGCCATTCAAATGAAATAGAGGTTTAAGTCGATAGTTCGAGGCACGACAAAACTGATTAAGCTGTGATGACCATCCTCCTTAATTGAAATGTTACATTCATTTATTTGTCATCATGGTCAAATTAAGTTAAATTTATTTTTAATTCAAAAGATAAATAATTTTTCATGCAAAAAATTCAAAAAATTCATTATAAACTAGACCTTTTTGGATACGTATCTGCAGTATTCCAATAAAACAAAATTAATATAATCTGCAATGATTTGTAGGGACATAATGGCATGTTAGGGTTATTCGTATGTTCTTGCAAAAGCATCTTAATACAGAAAAGGGGAAGAAAAAAAGCCTGAAAAGATTATTAGACATTTCAAATGTATTGAAATATCTACCGGTAGATGGTTGAATAAGAAAGTATTAACATTTATGGCATTTCAGCATTTGTGCCACCACGGAGGGTAATTTTATATTTTCTCTTTCCCGTAACCTGTTTTTTCAATAAAAACGCAATCCAAGAAACAAATGCAAAAAGAAAAAATCAGACAGCTAAGAAAAGTGTTATGTTTTTTTAATGATTTGAATATCACTGCAGTGACAAAGTCAAATGTGAAAATTGGACCGGAGCCTGTTTTGATATTATGCTCATAACATTTGGTTTTGAATAATAACTTAATTTTATCACAGGAAAAAAAAAGAAGTTTCTTGTTCTCAATTAGTCGTTGGATTTTCTAAACAGTACTTTCCAGCATGTTGCCCTTATTTACCTCTACCATTATAATATAAGCACCTTATTATCCTGGTATTAAGGTTATATACAGGTACATTAGATAGGATTATCAAATTTGTGACAATTAATGTATGCTATAATAGTGGATCGAATCATGTAAGTAGTTTCCTACGATTAGGTTGTAAGTAGACTAACATGACTGAAAACCAAATGTATGCATAAGGTATATAGGGCCTAAATGTGTACTCTTAATTATTTTGTAAAGCTGGAACCTTCTTTTTTTCTTCACGAGAGTCAAGTAATGGAAAGTAATGACCTCATAAGATCTTTTTGCAATCAAAGTAATTAAATTGTGGTTCGGCGTGCCCTTGCTGCAGTGCTAACTTGCAGATAATGAAACTAATTTCAATATTGCGGTCCCTGACCTGGTATGAGTTAGGAAGAAGTGTATACCAAGCCAACGTGAGCGTCAAACAGCCTACAAATTATACAAACGGAAGAAAATTTAGTACAAAATTCGATTTTCGTCTAATATATTCTGTAAACTAGGGGGAATTAAACAAATCAACATTAAAAAGCAAACATTCATGAAGTCTGGCATTTTAAATCTTTGAATCTTTGTTTTGTTGGGGGGGGGGGGGGGCGGCATCCTACCGATGGGATTGTTGTAAAGAAGACTCCAGTACTACGGAAGAATGGTATGTGTATTAAAAGAAAAATTATCATGCCATTTGAAAAACGACATTACTTTGAGTTAAGATATAATTGTTCCTTTCAAAATTTTACCGACAGAATCTTCACAGTCACCCAAGTAGTAATAATCAAGGCCATATATATATATATTTATATATATTTCATCACTTGCACACACCTTTGGAAATGGCGCCTTTTCATGACCCCTGACTAGAACGGCGCCGCAAACACTTAAAAGTACAATCGAAAGTTTGCTGGGTGCTCTAATTGCCAAACGACCACTTAGTGCTTTCACCACTTCTATTTTAAATTGTTTCAATCCTGTTTTTCACACATTACTGGCCAAGAAGTCATTTTATGAGAAGGGATACTCCAAGAAATAGAATCGAATCTCGTCAACGAAGTTAGAGCCTATAGTCGCGAGTGAGGAAGAAAGCGCAGACGTTCGATACTTCCCGCCGGTAGTATCGGGTTTTTTTGGCGCGTCGCCGCACCGCTACGCTAACACTACTAACAGCCAATACGATATTGCTGCGACAATTTCGCCCAATTACCCCCACCTCCCGGGCAAGACATTTTATGCCACTGAAACATGTAGTGATAATTAGATTCTCTTCGACCGGATTTATTATTGAATTAGCTTCGAACTTGGTGTTTGGGTAAAGAGAAAAAGAAAAAGATTGTGATGCTATACAGATGGGTTGATGAGGAGAGAGTAAGAGAGTGTAACGGAGTCTGGGGAATAGAAGACGAGAGAGAAGAAAATGAGAGTTATGGAGAGACGAGAAGAAGAGTACACAAGCGGATGAAATAACAGTGTAGAAATCGAATGGTGGGAAGATAATGCCCAAACCTGATAGCATGTCGAGCCACTTGTAGCAAATTTAGGACCCTAATCCGCATAACCAGCAGAGTTTGAGGCTCAAGTTCGCGCAAATTTCATCGGGACGCCGTTTTCTAGCCTTACTCGTAGTGGCTTCATAGCATGGGCATTGATTTCTAGAGTCTATGGCTTGAGAAGACAAGTGCTTCCTTAGTAATCCACTTCCGTCCTCCGAAACCTAATCAATTTTAGGCCTTCCTTCTAAAACCCATATTTCGATGGATTTTCCCTGGTTTCCAAGGAAAAAGAAGAGTTGGAAACGAGACAAAAGAAAAGTCTTTAGCGTTTGACCTCTTTGATTAAATCGTTTCAATGCGTTTCTGTCTATGGTTTTCCTCTACTTTTTTCAACTGGAAGAATTAAACCGTTTTCATCCCCCAAAATATTGAGAATTGCGACAGGGGTATCGGTTTGTACGATTCGAAAGAAGAAGCTTTTAACATTAATTAGAGTATTGGGCAAGTGCTGCAGGAAGATGGAATTTTGGACTGCATCACGCCGGTAGCGAACCCATTCGAGATGGCCGATCAGATTTCCAAAATGGTCGAAACGCGCTAATTGGCGTACGAAAACACGTCCCAATATTCATTTCTATGCCAGAAGTTTATTGTGCATGCGCGTCGCTCTCGACGAAGAAATACCACACTGCACGGAGGAGAACGGCTGCCGTGACGGCGGGGTGTACGGGAATAGAAGAACGGTGTGAGACAAATACAGCGATTTCAGTTTCAGTAAGGCAATTTCGAAAATTAGCTCTCGTGCCGCATACATCGCAATACACGGGTTAGCTGCGGGCGAGAAAGTGATCTGAGGCTTCGAAGTGATGCGAAGAAATGAGAGCCTTGCAAGACCTCCCAGCCGAATCAATCTCTATGCGAGCACCATAGTCCTCAGGCTTTTACTTCCACCTTGTTCCCTCTCACATTGCCATTTTTTTTAACAGTCGAGAAGGAGTGGGCTAGGTTGTGATGTCGAGAGTCGAGACAGTCTCTGCCTGCCACGATACAATTCCAATTTGCCACTCATATCAGAATTTGGTCCCGAGTGACTAGCAATCGCATGCAAAAGTGGACTAATTCGATGTCAGATGGGCACAAAAGACGCAGAAGATTAATTGCAATCATCGAAAGCGACAGGTACACCCTACCTACTGACTGATCACATGGGCGACACCACCAATGACCCACAATAAAAAAAAAAGTGAAAATAGCCTATTGACGATATTAGCTTTTTCTATGAAAAGGAGATGGACAGAGAGACATATATATATAATCATATAGACATACAGACAAACAGATATAGAAAGAGAGCGTAAGAATGATGGAGAAAGCGGTAGAGAGAGAAGGAAGAGAGATAGGGAGAACGAGAAAGAAAGAGAATGATTGGGTGAGAGAAAGAGAGACGGAGAGAGAGAGAGGGGGGGGGGGGATTTAAGTAATTACAAAAGTTTGTTTTCTCCTGAAAAAAGTAGATATATTACGTTGGCATAATAATTGTTACGTAATGTTACTCCTATCATTTCAAAGTATTATGTCATTGGTTGGATCTCTAACATGTCGGCTAGGTTAGTTTCTCGAGAGAAAGTTTAAACGTTTAAACATTAGCTTTATAGTCCTGGGGAGTGTTTCACAAAGATCCTAAGTAGAACTTAACACTAAGTTGGACTTAAAAAGTGTGGACAGCCATTGGAGCCTTTAAATGAAATATATTCAAAAGCAAAAATTGGAGTATTTTAGACATTTCATCAATTCCACATCAAGAACATGAAATCTCCCATGATAATAGAAAATATGAATGATTTGAATCAACATTTTATGCCTTCTAAAAAAAAAATACAAAATGTTTTCAAGGATGCTAATGGCTTCCCATAAATTTTAAGTCCAACTTAGAGATAAGTTCAACTTAGGATCTTTGTGAAACACCCCCCAGATCTTACATGTTACCACGTTACGACTTCGTTACGACTTTGCTACGACTGGAGTTTTGAAGAAATCCTGATCGCCTACAAATCGCAGTGACGTCATCTTGGGACCTTCGTTTTTAGCCCCCAAAATAAAAATAAAGGAAACTGACATAAAACTATCATTTTCTCTTTGAAATGAACCAACTCCGATCAGAAATACATTCTGGATACTTTTTTTTTTAATTACTAAATAAGAAAAGACAAATTCAATTTGGCATGAAATTTTACAAGTTTGTTTCCCTAGCGAACTTTTTATCCAGGCTCACCAGACAATATTATTTCGAATATATCTTGCAGTTCGACGTTAAACTAGTACATGTATAGGATTACAAATTCCTAATACCTAGCTGATTAGGACATGGTTTCTGATTAGTGTAATGTTTAGATGTAATAACTGATTTCTTTCTCCCTATCTCTTTTTCTTTAGACATTTTGATTGAAGAGAATCATGACCGGATTTTCAGTCAGCACTCACCATCTTCTGTCAATAGTATGGGCAAGAAGAAGAGAAAGAAGAGACGGCACAGGTATGTATTCATTAAACCATAAACCATCTCCCTCTTCTTCATCTTCATCATTTGTTCTGATACCTCCCTGCCCCCCCCCCTCTCCGCCCCTTTCTTTCTCTCTCTCTCTCTCTCTCTCTCTCTCTCTTTTAGAACTTGTTTATGTACATCATAATATAAATGGCAGATCGGGTAACGTAATGTCCCCAGCAAGAGTCTCGTGGTTCTCGGGAACTTTTGTTTGCCCTTGATTTCTCAGAGAATTAACTACAAAAATTGTTTACAAATCTTGAAGTTTTAAAATCAGTTATAGTAGAATAAGCCGCCTTTAGTATTCTAAACATAGAGGTGATCACATGTTTTTTGTTGTTGATTTAATAATGTCGAATGTTATCTGAAATTTCGAAATCATGGAAATATCGAATATACATTATAGAACCAATTTAGGTTAAGAGATCGAGGAGGAGGTGTATATAAAAATTCGAGAAAGCTTTTTTAAAAGTAACCGTTTAAGACGACTGAGGTTCGAAAAAATCGAAACGTCAAGCTTATAAATAAAAAGGTGGCAACTCCGTCTTTTTACCATTGCAGGCGAAATCATTAAGGATATAGCTCAAATCTAAAGAATTACCAATGTCTCATCTACAAGTAAAAGGGGATGACTAAGAACAGAGCTAGAAAACAACGGAGGTAATTTGATAGAATCGAGAAAATTCCGCGAAACAAGAGCAGAGAAAAGAAAATTAGAATGTATAAGTGTCCCGACATTGATGGATTACATGCTAAAGAATCAGACGATTCCCTAAACTTTTTTTCTCGTCCGAGTAATTATCTTGAAATGTTTGCTAGAGATTGCTTGCTTGCGTTAGTAACGTGATTTGAAAATTGGATAATTGTTCAAATGACATCCCCAAACATGGTGACCGTTGGGTGGTTGATGATAGAGAGGGTACCGGTCAAAGATCTTATGCTAACACTTGATGAATCTGTGTCTCCTGTCGATTAAAGTTGTTTTCTTACCAGGTTAATGCCCGCTTTCATGTATTAGCTACTACGTGAGGACACTTCCCTGCTTCCAAACACATTAGATACAGCCATGAATTCTGTCGTTAATAAATTTTTCATAAATATATAGGAAGGTATATAACTACTTCCGGAAAGATTCAGTTTTAGCACATAGGAGGAAATGGGTGACATTCATGCTTATATAGCTTGTATTGTTAGAGGTGTCGTGGTCGCGTGGATACGTCACCGGAGTGTCGATCACATTGCAAGGTCCGTGATTCGAGTCCTGCCGCAGCACTAATGTCCTTTGACAATAAAATTAATCTACGTTTGCCACACTCAACCCAGGTATTGTAAATGGGTACCTGGCAGGAATTAATTCATTGAAATGCTAGAGCGTCGTAATGGCAGCAGTGCTAAAGCCAGGGTAATAATCGGGAGCTCCTTGAGTGTCAAGTCTGACAGATTCGTGCGCTATACAAGAACCCAGTATTATTATTATTATTATTATTTTTATAAACCTAGGTCAAGATGCGAGTATTTTTATGAGTAAATTAGAGTAAATAACCTTGACACAAAGACAGTATTTATCTCCTCTTGAACTAGCATCGTTCAGATTTAATTCTCTCATATCGGCCTTATTTTATTGTCATGTTGATTTTATGATTGTGTTTAATATTATTGTACAACTATAGATCTGTTGAAAGCGAATATAAGATTATCTGGGCGGAGTAAAATAGTATTTCGTAATTATTCTCTTAATGCAAATTTACAATCAATTAATTAAAAAAAAGATCGCAAAGACAAAAAATGTTTTGCACTCATGAGAATAATCTAAAGTACAAAGTTCATGAGATAAAGAAAGTTTTGAAAATCTGCTGGCAACATTTTTCAGATTGGCTAGAGAGAGAGAGAGAGAGAGATAAAGATAATCAGAGAGAGAGAGAGAGAGAGAGGGGACGACGTTAGGGGGAGGGGTCAGGAAATCTTGTGTCCCCTATCCAATGAATTTAGAAATATGTCCCCTCTCAAATTCATAAACTTTGTCTCGCGTCAGAAATTTTGGAGAGATATAATTATTCCGAAAAATGGAGATTTTTTTTTTTTAAGAGATTTCTGAGACCCCCTTTCAAAATATTCCGTCGCCACTACAGCTATTCGAAATCGAACTAGAGTTTGGATCCCCCACGTCAGCATGACTCGTCACCATTCTAAAGATGAACCCTCTCTTCCTTCCGACCATAGAATTAATGAGGATAATGGAGAAAGAGAAGAAACGTATAAACCAATAAGAGCTACTCGGTAGAAAAGGGTGATGGCACTTTTTTTCTTCTTCCAATGCTGTATAGCTCAATTTGGTGGACATCGGTTTTGTAATGTATTCCCGAGTGAGATGACATTTTCTTTCAGATCGTCCCTTCTCTAATTAGATAATGAAATCAAACATCTCAATTCGAGGAGATTGCTTTTCTTCAAGGCTACTTAAGAAGGAGAAGCTAGAGTATGGCACAGCTTCTTTCTTTATAGACTACCACTTGGGGAAATGCATTTGGAAATGATACACCCGCGATCGGTCACAAATGTCATTATTTCATCAATTAGTTCTATATGATTGTCTGGATGTATATCTACATCGTCAACAACTGATGTATAGCACTGATGTATAATGTTACTTCATTATATTGCTTATATATAAACTATATACATATATGCTTCTTTTTTTTTTAAACATAAAACCCCTATATAATATCGGCGCTAGTATGACCTTAAATCCATTCCCAGTATGATCGTTTCAAAACAAAGTCTTTAAAAATGTTTAACTTGATGGGCGCGATTTTCACTCATTCAAAATTAGATCATGACTATGATTATATAAACAAATAGAAAGAGTTGATATTCTTAGGGCTACTTAAGATTGAAAGAAAAAAAAAATTGATAAACTTTTTATTCTTTATCAACCTAAGGAACTACATACGCCAGCATTTTCTTAGAATATTATTTTTCTATGAAATACAAACAAAATAATAGAAAGATTTTTTTTTTTAGGGCTACTTAACGTTGAAGGGAAAAAAAAATTGAAAAAGTTTCTATTCTTTATCAACCTACTGTACACACAATAGCATTTTCGTAGAATAATGTTATTCAATTCCTTTAAAACGTTTGAAAAGTTTAAATTGTCGGAAAAAACTCCAAAATATTAGTATTATTTCAACCATCTCATTGTTCGGAAGTACAAAGATTCACGAGTTTATTACTACATGTGATAATGTCGATTGCTTAGAGAAAAATTGGAAATAGATAACAGTAGATTAAAGTTTTAATCCTCTGGATATAACAAAAGTTGTCTTTATTTTACGACTTTGATTGAGACTTATCCATAATTCATACTATTGTATAAGTTCCGTAGTATACTTGGTGAACCAAAGCATTACTTATTTTGTACACCACCGCCCATGTAATTGCATTGCTCTTGTTAGTCATGATTGAATGCTAATACCTGGTAATTATCGAAAATGAGGCAATGTGAAAATGGGGAGGAAATGTGATCAAAATGTGCGTTGAGGCAGAAGGCAGATCATACCGGGCCCATTGAATGCAAGACGGGTTAGCAGCAGACAACCAGCGGTCTGAGACCCCGTGGCAATACCGTACCATCACACTACGAATACGCCTCCAAGATACGCCAAATTATCGCCCGAGTGGAGGATTGGCAACGCAGTTATGACCGGCCATCTGTCAAACGAGAAACTTGAGAACATCTCCCCTCCCCCATCGGGAGTATGTACCTTACTCCTAAGGGAGGGGCATCGAGAATTCATCAAAATTCGATACTTTAAATTTGAGTGATTAGTTGTGGCGCCCAACCATGAATAATGCCGGTATACCTTACATCTTAACACAAGACTATACAAGAATGTCAGCACGCCAATCGTTTTCCTAATACTTATACTTATTCCTCCTTCTTAATTTAATTGCGTATATTAGCTTCAAATACTATGCCTGCTCTGTGTTACGTCTGAGGTCTATTTACATCGGACAAGACGAGTAATAAATGTATTAAAATATTAACAATAATTATATTTTGAAGATAGGTCAATCAAGTTGCATATTGCTCCACCCATCAATATACTAATAGAGTTAAGCTCTTGCTTAACTGAAAGATTATAACTCTGATAAAGATTCTGATTAAGAACAAGATTTTCAAGTTCATTAGAAGAAAAATGAAGTTAAAGTTTGAAAATTAAAAAGACATTTAATGATTCCAATCATGCCAATGGGGCTCTACTGTTCAACACTATTATTTTGTCTCCATTTTATTTTGTCCTCTTTCTTCTCGTTTATTTCTTATTTTTTAACAAAATTAATTAGTAGTTATTGTCTTTATTCAGTAACATCGCAGGTACAATTAATATGTTTGTATGTAGTTGACTATAAGAGAGTAATTGTCTTTAATGAGACATTCATTCAATCCATCAAGCAGAAACTGGTACAACATGATATTTCATATTATTATTAGGAAAGGAAGAGGAAAACAGATGATGAAAGGAATGAATCAAGCGATTAATAGTATGAAGAATTGATATATTATTTTTAGCTATATCCTAAATGGTTAAAATGTGTAAATGTTTAAATCATGCACTTATGAAACAAGACTATTTAGAACCAGATAATGGTATTTGTCATTCATAAAATCATGATACTGAGGACACGAGCAATATCGACAAGATTTCAAAATCGTGAAAAGATGTTTTCCATTTTGTTCATGGTGGTGTGCTTACAGTATAGTAAACACCATTCAAAGGGAAACGCCACTCAGTTTAATGTTGTATAATGAGTAGTGAAGCCTGTTGTTGTTGGTTTGAGTTTATAGGTACTTATCATTCAAATGTGAATATAAGATAAGATTGTGCAATATCAATATTTAATGGACCCTGTTTGTGAACTTACTTTACCAGATCAATAATATAAGCATGGTTTCTAGGCCTACTTTTTAGTTAACTTTTCTACCATCCTCATACCATGACAGTTGTAGTTTGATGGTATTTGGTTTAGTGAGATTCCAGCTGCTTTCAAACTCATACGTCTTTTGTATTACACTTCATCGACATTCTCAGACTTCGTTGGAGGAGCCTGCGCCTTTGAATGTATTTTTTAAAACAAAAATATGATTCCATATAAATGCTATGCATCACCATCACCATTCACCATCACCATCATCATATAGCATTTTTCAAATTTCTAAGCGATTGTTTAAATTAAATAATAATATTCACATTTGTATATTTTGTATAGCACTTTATACTAAGTTTCTAAGCGCTTTACATTGTAATTATTATGACCTCGGTCATTGGTTGCAATTGCTAATCCGCACATAATAGTGCGCACACTCCATTTCTTGTGGAGGATTTCGGCCACTTGCAGGCGCCATTTACAAGCTCACACATGGCAATCCAACCACATAAACATTATATATTGGATATAACTATTAGTCATAAATATCATAATGCTAACCTACTTCATTGATGACAAAAATTATTTATTTATGATTTGCTTTACAGGACGATCTTTACATCATATCAACTTGATGAATTAGAGAAATCGTTCAACGAAGCTCATTATCCTGATGTATATGCCAGAGAACTTTTAGCACTCAAGACTGATCTACCCGAAGACAGAATACAGGTAAGATTTTTCCTTTTGATTTCATATTTTCCAAGTTTATATCATTCATGGTGAAAACTTACTACAGCCCAAAAGATTATACAGCCATAAGGCCTGCTCCTTTTTTTCTCTTCTTGAAATCTCTTATAAAAAAATACATGGGAGCGATGAGCGATTAGCTCTGCATGGGAAGCTCTGAAATAGCTCCGGATAACTAAAAAAGAGCTCTGCAAATATGAAAATAAAATGCTTAAATATCGATAAATCCTAAAAGACTTCCCACATACAGAAAAGTTATTTAAAAAAACACATTTATATCATTTATGGAAAAAAATGAAAAAATTCCGGAGCCACTTAAAAATACACAAGGGAGTTGTTTTTCTTTAAATGCCACACCGTCCTGTCTTTATAATTTGCATTTTTAAAAACTTAGAACATCTTTTTTTAGATTAGGTAATCCCTCTCAATGTTTTTTTTATACTCATTTTTTTAAAATTGATTTCAGTGATGATCAAAGCTTACTACAGCACTACCTTAAGAATATATGTTCAGTTCAGTTTATTTCATCTCCAGTTCAATCTTATTCCGACTCATAACTTACTACCGCCGCAAAATAGCACATTACCACACTCACAAAACAAATCTTCTTAACAATTGCATAGGCATATAGTAACTTACACGATGACATTTTTAAATTTTCGGACGAGGACAATTTTTTTATTTTAAGGATGGGGAGTTATTATCCAGTTCCAATGATTCTATTCGTTGTTTATGGCCTCATCCATCTTAACATGAAGGAAAATTATGATTAACAATATATCTATACCCAAAAGATAACAGTAATTGAATGAAAATAGACTAAGTATCTGCCATCATTGCAACTTGGCCGAAATGTCAAAGAAAAAGGAAAAGAGAAACGAAAAGGTTTCAAAAGTAATTGATTATTCGGTTTCATTGAGAAAAAAAGACTTTTAATGGAATACTGTAAATACTAGTTAAACAATAATAATTGTCACATACTGATGTTATGAACGAACCCTGCCAAACGAACATGGTATTGGACGATGATAAAATTATTTCCGTTGTTATCTTTCTCGCCAAACAAGACTGACGATTAAAACAAGTAGCCTCATTATATAAGAGAAGACAGTTATTTGATGCTGACGAAAAAGAAAATAAGCAAATAGTAAAATAAATAACCAATAGTCGTAGGTTGTAAAGGTTAGCTTGTCATACATCATAGATTTATTTATTGATTGTAAACTGTTCACTGATCATAGATGTACCTTGAACTATTACAGATGGATTTAAAAAGTGTTTCTCGAGCATCGGGGAAACATCGCCCTCATGCTAGCCCACATCCATATAAACCCTCTAAAACGATGGATACACATCCTAAATAAGGAAATGAAATGAAAGAAATGTCATCTTATTTTACACTCAGATTTTTAGTTTAGGGGCTTTGGAATTTAGAACATGGAAGAGTAGCGGAGAGAAATTGCTGTTGCCTCTGATTTCACGAACTCGAAACTAGTTTCTGCCAAGCTCGGGTTGTTGCGGGTGATTGAAGCGACACGGTCCCTAGTGACTTAGCCGACTCCTCCCCGTCGAGGACAGGCTAGCTCCAGCTATCCTACCCATCTTATATCTTGCGTGCCATGACAGGCTTGGCTTATTATAAGAGCACTAAGCTTTAAGCTGATTACTGGGTCTTAATTTCAAATTAATTATCAAAATGGCACAAAGGTGTATGTGTCTCTGATCCAGTTTTCTCAAATTCATTTCTCCTTTCCTTAATAGGCATAAGGAAAAGGGAGATAGGATGCTTGTAAGATGTGTTCACATTATCCTTAATTGTAAAAGCGAAAGTATTAACATCACCATTTAAAAGGACTGAGGAGTGACGGTGTTATCAAACTGGCAGGTTACCTCTTTTAACATGCTGGATCTACCCTTTGTGTAATGTTATATTCAACATATTAAAAACACTTATATATTATTTATAAAACGCGTCACTCCTGGGCTCTTTTAAATAACGATTCGATACTTTAGTTTTGGGAGTGATGATGTTCAAACAAGGTTCAATAGACTTGTCACTGCATACTGAAAAATACATTTTGTTTCAAATTAATATTTATATAATATTTTTGTTCCTTTTGCATGAAAGACGCGATACGGTTGAAAAAATAAATATGATGAATAATACACCTTTATAAATCGAAGTATCACTAATATTCATTAAAAAAAAATCAGAGAAATTGAGTTGAGAAGCATAGTGCCGTTAATTTAAACTGAAGGTCCATTGGTGACATAATCAGAGAAGTTTAATGGACACGCCCATCAAAGGGTATTTAAGATGCTTCGGGAAACCGTGCCATTAAAAATTACTGAACCCTTGATACAATTAGAGTTTGAGTATACAATGGGAATGACGAAAATAGTATATTCTTACATGTATATCGAGCTTGAAAAAAATAAAATCGGGGTTTAAATTCCATCACCCCACTATTACACTTTGGAGTTTGGTTCTGGATATATCACGCCCTTTAATACCCATCAGAATCTGATGTAGAAAATGGGTGAAAGTTGGTTAAAGAGGATGTTGGTAATTGCCATGGTTACCGTCCACCACTCACAACGACGGTGCAGTGATTGAGATATAGGTTATACAAGTGTGAACGTGGATACCGTTCTATTTAGGATGAAGATGATGAGGGGAAAAGATTGGATTTTAGCTACTCATGTGAAAGAGAGAGGGACGACTGATTGGACGTTAATGCCTAATCGGAAGGATAACTAAGCGTTAAAGTTCGGTCATGCGCCGGGGGACTACAGTAAAACGATTCCCTTCAGTTAGATTCTAAGATGATTGGTACACCGCCTGCGGGAGCCAGGCCGACTGAGCTCGTCTAGTTTTAGAATGCCTCTGCTCTGCCTCCGTCCGCCTAGGAGTGATGAAAACAGTACAGAAAGCAAAGACAAAGACGCAATTGAATTGTTAGAGTACTTTGCCTCAATCTGCAAGGCAGATAGAAATGGAAATCGAAGAAAAAAGCTAATCCGAAAACGCGGCAAACGTGACGTACTTAATTTCCAATTTGGCGCCTAATTTGACAAATGAACAATTTTCCGGTGTTTGAAGAAATGACACGAAGTTGTGGTAATGAGGTTCGACTCGGGTGCTTGATTAACTCACTGTAATAACTCAACCTCAAAACAATTTGATGTACTAAGAAAAACTATAGGAGCTAGAGTTCACCCGGGAAATCAACTCGGATCAACCGTTGTTGTCTCAGCTCCAACTCTAAAGTTTGCTTTTCTCAAAGACCAATTTTATATCATGCCCTGCGTCTAATTTGTTACAATCTTTTCCCTGAACCCGTGTTTCCCCCGTTCCTTTCATCCGCTTTCCCCTCGCTCTGTTTGTTTATTCTATTGTGTGCTCACGAAAATTAAATTTGCAAATTTGTCTGTTTTCGTTGCGGGAAATAAATATGGTGGAGAGAGGTAGGTGGGGTTGGAGCGTGGGTATGGAAGCCCAAGTTTGGATTGATGTATTGAGTGATGATGTCGTTGTCCGGACTGAAATTTGATGTTGGGCTGGTCAGGCACGCTCTGGGTTGTGTACATCCAGACATTGGGGAGCATCGTGGATAGATGTCTTAAGGGTGCAAATTAAGAATAATTTGATAAAGAGGTAATCCAGCAAGAAATGAAAAGCTCTAAATCATGTAGCAAAACTTTGACAAGGTATCTGGAAATCAAATCAACTTCATTTCACCTACACGCTTTTACGAACTGAGTATTTCCACCTTGTCTATAAAATACCCAAGCCTTTCTAAAATGGCAGAGTATCAATTACCATTGGGAGATATCATGATGACGACGAAAGATGAGTCCTGCTTTGACGTCGCCTTTACTACTCGTGGTCTAGTGGATAGGTCGTCGGACTCTGAATCACACGATTCATGATTCGGATCCCTGCGACATGGCGAACGTAATTTGGCAAGACACAAATCTGCATTTTCCACTCTCTACCCAAGTTATGCAAATGGGTACCTTGTATAAAGTAATAATCCATTAATGCTTTAGCGCTTATCAGGTTGACTTAACTGAACTAAAGCTGGAGCAAGAATGATAATTTGTAATAAGCGCAGTGGAGAACTGCTCTATTATATAAATACATCTATCATTATTATCATACAGGCCTTTTTGTTAAATCATTTTGATATTTGCTTTAGTTTACAATGCTGCGTTTGTTGTTTTTATCGAAGTCGAATGATTTCAAAGGATTTCTTGAATAAATTATTCCATCCCTTTTTATCACTTAACCGTCCAAGCATGTTGCAAGCCCAGTCATTCATAATCAGTCATTCTGTACAGGATAAGAATTCAAATCAAAATAAAAATGAATTCAATTTTTTCTCGATTAGTCACAGCATCCAGTCAAGCTTGCTTTAAAAATTCCACTTCAAAATACCTTATATGTAACTGTAAGTGCTGAATCACTGTCAAAAATGGATAATAATCATCAATAATTTGCTATCGTCAGTATACGTTCAATCTAAGTGATCATTAGGTGACGAATAACTCAAATTGCAAAGTGAAATCAACATCTAACTTTTAAACAGTCGTAGCTCTCGAGAAAATCGTGCAATTACCGACATGGCACTCATTAAGGTCTTTGTATTGCAGTGTTTGTCTGAAACAACTTCTGAATGGCCTGCTTTTAGCCGCCATATTGCCTGACTTCAAACATTCCCTCCACGTGTCTGATTGGTTCGCTCATTCCCAATCATCTATTGTTATTTACCGGCGTATCACTTTGCCTTGCTCGATCGCAACCCAACTGAAGTGACGATGCTCGAGTGCTAATTGGTAGGCAATTATCAATCCAGTGATTGCTTCCATATTGATTCCTTCAGGAAAACCCGTGACTGCGTCAAAGAAAATTCGCAAAGTCGAGCGGTGATGATCTTTAAAAATGCATGGATCTTGCTTGGAGCGAGACCGTATAGCGAGAGCGAATAATAATTGATGTCCAGCTAGAATACATATCTTGACTACATACAGCATATGTAACATATATTGTAATGGATTTCATTTTAGCACGTATTTCGTGACAATTTTTACTACCGTTGGTCACTAAGTTTATCTTCTAAATAATGCAAGGAACTTGGTCAGATTCTAATGACTCATTTATCAAAATCACCGCACAATGCATCAACATTTCAGTTCGAAGGAGAGCTGAATAGATGGTGTTAAATTTACGATGTTATATTTTTCCGAAATAATCACCCTGTTAACTTCCTAATGTTTGCATTTTGTGGGGTTTAAAGTGTGTGCCTCAAATGAGGTGTTTATTTACATTCAGGCATCGAAATAGTTGTGAGAACAAATATGATTGAAGTACAGTGTTATCAATACAAATCACATATTTTCTCTACTGTACAATATTTTGCTACTTTTCGTCTAAAGGGCTTTTAACAGTTTCTCTGGCAACCTTTTGACTGTCTTTTTTTAGTTCCTGGTTCACAACAATTCTGTTTTTAATTTCTCCTTCGAATAAGTAATTTAGTTTGAAATGGTTTTCATAAAAACCATACTTATTCCGGAATACTAACATTTTGAATATACACCGGAATGCGATTGGTATCATATCTCTTTCTGTCAATATTAATCTTAAGTAAACAAGAGATATCCATGCATAAATCAATATTAACAGTGTACTTCACAACATGTTTGATTTAATCAAATATTATTTGTTGTTACCTTCTAAATATGTATGGATACGAGGATATTTACTATTCTTTCTTGTGAGTTACAGATATGCAACTATCACAATCACTGTTCATACCATGTGAATGCTTTCAATGATGTGGATAATATACGAAAACGTACAACCAACCCAAACAATTTAAGGAGTATCACAAATTATTTTTGATTAGGAAAACACGAATGTATTTGTATCACTCTCACTTTGTTGGATTAAAATGAATGATTCTCACTCACTATCACTGAAATTGTAACGTCATATTATAAAATCATCACATCGTAAGTGTACTAACAATGAAAACATCATACATTATGAGATCGATAAAAACTCTTGACATCATGCTAAAAAATATGCTGTTGAAATTTGATCGTTGTATTCTTTAAAGGCACACTGCCAAACTTGTAGCTACTTGCTCCCTCTATATAGAAAACTTCCCCAATCGGTGCCTGTTGGTACCCCATGATCCTCTTTTTCTTATGTTAAATGAGAGCTGAGTTAATGAGATAGCCACCTGTCACAGTGACCTCAATGGCTCGCTGTGTGGTCTAATCCCTTCTTGTCCAGTAGTGGTGACGGTCTTTAATAATACCCTGTTCAATCCCCCTGACAATTATGAATGGTATTTCTTATCTAGTCATGACTTGGTTTCATTGAGAATAACAGCGATATTGGTTTAATGTTCATGGCTCACTTTACAAATACATCACCAATGGACAAACCCTTTGATTTGACCATGTGATCCGTGATGACTTTTCGACGAAAAAAAAAACTTTCTTGCTTTCCAGAGTTCAAACAGTCACTGTGATGTAATTTCAATCGAATATCCGAGGTAACATTGACAAAAGAAAAATATCATAAGGTGGTATGTACTTTTACACATATCCCCTCTTATATTTGTCAGAATATTTTTTCTTTCTTTCAGTACATTTCTTGTAGAACAGATAGCTCAAGAATGACTTTGCATTTTCCTTCACAGTTGGCACAATGGTAGACTTTTCGATGTCATATAGATAATATGACGTCATCTGGGCGCCATTTTGTGAATTTCACATATCTCTAATATCTCTATAACCAAATGGTTATCTTTCTTCCTTTCGTTCTTCTAGGTTTGGTTTCAGAATCGTCGGGCTAAGTGGCGAAAGAAGGAGAAGTGCTGGGGCAGGAGTAGTGTGATGGCGGAGTACGGTCTATACGGGGCTATGGTCAGGCATTCTCTCCCTCTCCCAGACAGTATTTTGAAAGCAGCTGAAGAAGGAGATAGCTGCGCTCCGTGGTTGCTAGGTAAGTATTTCGAATTATAGTAATGATAATGATGGTGATATGATGAGTGTAATCATAATAATAATTGATGATAATAACAATAATACAAGATATTTCAATAATATTATTAGTAATAATAATAATAATAATAATGATAATAATAATAAATAAATAGTAATAATGATAATAATAATAACAATTAATTATAATAATATTAACAACAATAATGATGATAGTATATAATAATGTTAATAATAATAATAACAATGATAAAACAACAATACTACTATAGGCCTATACTACTACAATTCTACTTCTAACAACAAAAACAACAACCTCAACAAGATTAATAATTATCGTTACAGTATGGTCTTATCTGTCTAGGATATTGAGAGCCCTGCAATTAATGCTATCACACCATTGCCGAGTACCGATTTAATGCTCCTTGGCCAAAAGGGACAAATTTAGTAAAACACCTTGTCCATGGCGATGTGTAAACAAGCCAAAAGAGGAGACAAATAAAAAATGCATCCACACGAAACTTTATTTGGGGAATGCGATTCAAATCATGCGTTCTTAAAGAATACTTTAATTACGAAGAACAAAACTGGTCTAATAATTGCGATATCTATTCAATACAGATCATTGATGCTCAGAACAGATATATGCCGCCATGTTTGGCATGTAGTATATTAGCTCTTCAATTTACAAGGGCATTGTAGGATCGACAACTGTCAAATCTCTGTTTATTCTCCATTTACTTTACAGTCAATATACTCATGTTCTCTTCCTACAGGTATGCACAAAAAATCGGTGGATATTCCTGACGTGACCGGTGATGAAAAAGAAGACAAGATCTACCGAGAAAGCAAGAGTAGCATCACCAAGGAAACGCTTCATCAACAAAACGACTCGAGTATGAGCGGTGCAGATGATATTAGGACCAATAGCATCGCATCTTTACGGGCTAAAGCTCAAGAGCATAGCGCCAGACTCCTAAGCGGCAATGCTCGGCCCTGCATCACTACGACAGGGTGCTCCGAGGCAGCATCAAGTAGGGACCAGCACTCATCCAGTGATTCTCATATTGGAACCGGGGAGAAGAGAGACAGTGGGGTGTGGTCGGGGGATGATGAACGCGCCAATTGTTCGACGTCATCTCCCGATGGCCACGCCCATGGCCACGCCCATCATGGTCAAGATGACAGAAGACATGGCCATCGGGTCCGACATGGTGATTGGGCATCGGGAGATTCATCGTCAGGTGACGAAAGCCATGATGAAGAATGCGATGAAATCGAGGTCGACTCATGAACACGTGACATCGATGTTGTGATATCAATGATATGTGACATTAATGTCATCAAAATGGCCGCCGATGTAAGTTTGATTTGTATATACTTGCCAAGTAAATTAACAGAGCGAAATATGAATGAATTAGATTTATCGTCATAAATGACATTATATTGCAAGACATTTTCTTTGTGCAGGCACGTTGATCACCATTTTATATTCATTGCTATATGATTTTAGAAACGATAAGACGATTTATGCTTATCTTTTATAATACTTATACCGAGTGAGTAAAAAAAAAGTTTACAACTAGAAAATTGCTAATTATTTTTAAAATCATCTATGAACAGTAAATTAATATACATCTTATGAAAGAGTGTTTTATCCCAAATCATTTGGAACCATTTTTGTGTGGTATGTGTTCACGCTTGGATGAACAGGTGGCATTGTTTGCGAGAGTGCAAAAATCGACTTGCGCCAAAGTGATGCCTACAGTATGTATTATGTTGGGATTAGCGGAGTGAGAGAATGGATTGAATGTATCAAATGAAATGGATTGCATATGTTTTTTTGCAAAGGGCAAAGACACACACACCCACATACGCGCGCACAAAATGTTCGCTGATATTTGATATTCGATATTTGATATGTGTGGCATGATTAATTTCGTTAGGGATGTTATTTGGATCTGCAAAGACCGAATTAATACCCAAATCCCAATTGTTTTATTCAAACATCACATAGGCAACTTTGGCGCAAGTCGATGTTTGCACTCTCGCAAACAATATCTCCTGTTCATCCAAGCGTAAACACATATCACACAAAAATGGTACCAAATGATTTGGGATAAAACACTCTTTCAAGACATATAACAATTTAATGTTCATCGATGATTTTTTTTTTAAATAATTAGAAATTTTCTAGGTGTAAACTTTTTTTTGACTCACACTGTAGTTTATCATACATGACTTGTACAAAATACTAAACATAATTAATTCAATGATTTATAAAACCACTGAACGGATGGCGCCGTAATTCTCTTCCTCTCTTATACATTCTCTTACCATTTATTTCGCCGTTCAGTTAACCATCCTATCTATTTCCTTCCCTTCGTTTCTCCCTCACTCTCCACTGCCCCCTTTTCTCACTTTAACTGTTACGCTCTCTATCGCTTGTTCTTTTAGTGTATATCAGTCGTCATTAGGAATTTGTGTTGTGCTTGTAGTAATATGAATATATTAAAATGATGCTACCTTTGTCTATAAATAAGTGATGCCTACTTTCATAAAATACCAGTGTACGAATTATTCTCCCTTCTTCATGAACTTGCATACACCAAAGCTATCGACTCAGTTCTGGAGCATTATGCTTATTCAGAACAGGTTTTTTACACAAGATATAGGGAAAGTGAAGAGAGAGAGAGAGAGAGAGAGACTGCGCTTAATGACGGAGAATGTGAGGAAATAGACTGCAGTGTTATGATTAATACTTTTTGTTGTAAATCTGTATAAACACACGGGTGTATATCGATATTGTAAATAATATATGGATGAGCATTGAGAAACTTAAAAAATTAATGTTTAGACTTGCAGTTTTAATTTTAGTAGGAACAAAAATCTACTAATTATTTGTTTAGAATATTCCAATAATTGATCAGAGTCGTTTAGAAGAAAAACCTACTAATTTTATTGTATCCATTAAGTATCAATTAGTTTTCATCAAAATACAGATATTAAATGTCGAGTTATCTCACTACATTGTATTAGCGAACAAATTATTGTAATTTAATTCTGTACTAGTATAAATTCGTTAAAGTATAACGGCCTTTGTGTGAGAAATTAGTTACTTTCAAGTTTTATTCAATATCATAATTTGGAACATTATAATCTTAATTCGAAATTGATATTGTTCCCTTTACAATTTTATATTAATAAAAAAAAAATGATTGTGTTCACATTACATTAACAACTTTGAATCGTAGATGTAAATTAAACTTTTAGTTACTTAATCCCTCAACTGAAATATGCAATGTCAGGTTTCAAACGAATATTGCCGGTATTGAAATTTTTTGAAATTTCAAACTCTTAACTCTTTATTTTATTAGTAATAATTTTAGCAATAGTATGAAAAGAACTAAGAATGCATAATATGAACAACATCGACATAAGGCATTCGCATAATTATGCCTCATAATCATTATGCAGTTGCTCAAATGATTTCGTTGCTAAATGTTCCTATAATATTTCTGCTATTTTACATACTCGGAGCACAAAGTAGTGGAAATGTGTTATAACGTGACATCTTTATTGTATTGTGTAAGCTATACGCACAGACGGAAATGCTCTCAAAAGAGATAAAATGATAATCAATGGGAGAGATAGAGAGAGAGAGAGAGTAAGAGAGAGAGAGAGAGAGAGAGAGTGAGAGAGAGAAGATTGAGGGTGATGGTATATTTCCTCATTTTATTATCAAGATTCAATCACACTGAAGCAATTTGTACATCAAAATAGTCTTATTCACTTGAAATATATGAAATGTGGGCTTTATTACTTTAACATTAGAAAGATAAATTACATTGGAAAATTTGTACTTCAATATTAAGACTCAAATAAGTAATTATTGTATAAATTGTATTCCATGTATACATTATTGTATAAACTATTAAATAAAATTCAGAACATATCCCGTTGACTCCTGAATTATCTTATTCCCATATGCTTAACACAGGGACCACCAGGTTCCCGTAAGCAATGGGATATTATGCATGTCTTGGACTGAGTTTATTTATATCGGCTTCACGCTATATCAGTTAATGAATGTTTTGGGACATTTTGCGATATCCAGATACATTTAATCCATATCATGTTAAAGTTTCTAGCATTTACAGAGTAATCATTCATTTGTTGTGAATTTCAACGCCTACATAGGAGCTATAAACGGGAAATTCTGCGAATGTAAACCAAAGACGAATCTAGAATATTGTCAGATGATTATGGGGAGGGGCGGCGAAATGTTTGAAAAATATAGAGGTATTCAATATCGTAGAAAAAACGTTATAGGCAGTCATTAAGACTCATCTTCACTCAAAGAAGGGAAGGGGAGGGGGTTCATGCCCCTAGATTCGACCATGGATGAATTACACAGTCAATGTCTATCATATCAGTCTTTGTTCTGAAGGTTGGCCTTTTCCTTATCTTTGACGCCCGCTTGTTTCCCTCTTGTTTTAAAAGATAGAAAGTAAGAATAGGTTCTTACAGTTAGGCTATCACTTGCATAAATAAGAGCAATCAAGCGGTAACGAACGTAATATACTGACAACTCATCTCCCCCCCCCCCCCCCAACCCACACAAATCCACACCTTCCCAGCAGTGCTTAATTAATAAGCTTTGACTTCTCCACTCGAGCGGGAAAACACGGCGAGCCGCGCCGCTGGAATACGTGCTCTAGCTATGATCGGTAGCATTTGAAAACATCCAGATCTATAAGCATTTATCATTAGTAAAATTCACCAAAATAAATTGTGCTTAAGTTTTGTTCATACTCCCTGACTTTTTCCGCTTGTTAATCATGTTTTTCTGGTTGAAAGTTGGCGCGGTATATATGCTTTTGTTAGTAGTAACAAGCTTGCAGCGGTTGTGTGATTTTCGTCTCTTTTGAGGGAAATTGAAGATGGTTTTGTAGTCTTGAGTTGAGAGCGCGAACCGACCCGCTGAGGCAGCACGAATCTAATTTGGGCGGCACACAGAGATCGTAGGTAAATTAGACTTTATCATGCCAAGTCACAAAACACATATCATAGAAGGAGGGGGGAAATCCATCTAAGAAGAGAGGACGAGGTGATGTTGCGAGAAGAATGGAAGTAGGGAACAGTGAGAGAGAGGGGGAGTTAAAAGGGAGGAAGAAGAGGAAGAGAGAGAGAGAGAGAGAGAGAGAGAGAGAGAGAGGGAGAGAGAAAGAGAAAGAGAAAGAGAGAGAGAGTATGTGTGTGTGTGTGTGTGTGTGTGCGTGTGCGCGCGCGTGTATGTGTGTGTGTGTGTGTGTGAAAGACAGAGAGAGAGAGAGAGAGAGAGAGAGAGGAGTATATAAAGATAAGAGAAAGATTGGCTAACATAGAGCAGAGAAGGGCTAGGTTTGCGAAAGAGGATATCCTAAAACAAAAACGAAAGCTCGGATGAAAGAGGAGACAGGGAAAACATTTGAAAGAGTGAGAGTTAGATAGCACTTCTGGTGGAATAGGCTAGTGGCGAAATAGTGATTAAAAGGTAGACATGCAAGAAGGATCAGATGCAAATGTTAGCTTTGTAATTCTTTAGGAAAATTTCTTGCAAAATAAATGACAGCAATGAAAACTTACAGATACTATACAAATCTAATTGTTTAATAGTATGTAGTCGTCGATTTATTCCATCAACTTAATTCTTCTAGGTGAAACATTTCTTTCGCTAGCGAAATGGGATATTGGTGAAGAGGGTGGAAAATACAGGAAAATGTGTATTTTAAGAAACGCATAGTAGGCCTAAGCCTTTAATATTCAAGATATAATTCTTTTTCTACTTATCCACTCTCTCTCTTGCTCTCCCCCCCCTCTCTCTCTCTCTCTCTCTCTCTCTCTCTCTCTCTCTCTCTCTCTCTATATATATATATATATCTTTCCCATATTCTTTCCCTTTTTTGACACCACTCTTTCTCCATCCCTTCCCCCCTTTTTCTATTTTTCCACCACACAAGACCTCTACATGTCTCCCTCTATTTTCTATTTCTATTTCTCTTCGCTCTTCCTCCCCTCTCTCTCTCTCTTTATCTCTCTCTCTCTCTCTCTCTCTCTCTTTCTCTCTCTCTCTCTTTCTCACTCCTTCCTCTTTTCATATTCCGTCCTTTCTTCTCTCTCCGTCTCCTCTTTCTCTTTCTTTCTTTCTCCAACTGAGAACGCGACACAAAATAAGGAGCAGCGTTGATGTAAAACCTACCTAAAAGGTGGCATGATTTCTCAAATCTATTAACATTAATTTTGACAAATGAAAATGAATGTTGATGTCACTAATATAAGAATAGATACCGGTACCAGGAACGTATCAGAAAGTTCATTAAAAATTGAAATATTCCAATCACTAACTTACCCACGTACATTCGTTTTCTGCAAGCATGACACCCATAGTACAAGGGTATAATTAAACTACATGCACGAGGAAATAATATTCTAATTAAGCATCAAATACATAAATGGTGGAATATTTCTCAGTCGTTGAAAATAAAAAGCCATTTATATACAAATTAGATATCAGCAAGAGCTATTAAAGATGCAGGTTGCTATAAATGGTTCATCAATATAATAGAATGCCACTCATCATGGTTCATGTCAACACGGTTCAATATCGATGGAAAATATGAAAGTGATGGCATACCTTTCCACATCAGTATAACAAAATTACTGGCAACTCAAGTTCAATGCATTGCTATTAGCAGAGAGTAGGGGCGTCGGAGCGTCTTCCAAATTGGCGGGGGGGGGGGGGGAGGTACCAACAAATGACACTTTCAGAAAAAGGGGCACCTACAATTTTAAGGGAAACTTCAAGGCAAAAATATACAATCATTAGACATTGGTATAAAAATTGCGATTACATTATCAGGAATGATTTCAATATGTGTTTCTCTTTTTACATGGTCCAATATACTGCTTAAGAATCATATTTTGCAGTTGGATGTGATGGTCTGAATATTCAAAATGCGAGGGAGCAAAAAAAAATGTAAGATTTGTGAGCATTGCGACTGTTTGAAGAAAAATGAACAATCCTGATAGTGTTTTCAGCTCATTTTCAAAATGAAAGACTAAAAAGTCCTTTAATAAGTTATAGAATTATAACAACTATAGCTTTGGGGGAAATTAAAGAAAAAACTGCTCTTAGTCGCTTTAAGTTAGGGGTACATGTTATGGAGAAAGGAAAAAGGGGGCAATTTATCAGAGGTGAAAAGAGACACAGCACGCACCTGAAAAGAGGCACTCACTATAGATGAAAACGGGCACCTAATATGAGGATGGAAAAGGGGCACTTATCAGATTTAAATAAGGAGCATTTAACATAGGCGACAAGGCGTATTTATGAGATGGGGAAGGGGTTCTTATCAAAACAGAAAAGAGGCACTTATTAGAAAGGAAAAGGGGGCACGTGAAGGGACACCTATGAGAGGTAAAAGGGGGCACTTGCCAAAAAAATAGGGGAACCTCATAGACTTGAATAGGTGCAACTATCAGAGGTGAAGAAGGCACTTATCATAGGTGGTAGGGTGCACTTATATAATGCGGAATGGGTACTTTTAGGGTACTTGAAAACATCATGTGGGGGCACTGTGCCCCCTGCAACCCCCGTCGGAGGGCGCTGCTCATGGCAATTTTCTCTGCCTTTAGTAGAGAGAAGAAAAGGTCGAGAACACTTAGGCATAATAAAGGACAGGAATACTTAGTCATTACCGAAATTAGTTAATGTACATGTGTAAGTCATAGGTGTCTTTCGTCTTTTAGTGACCACCGTCTGGAAATTGTGTACTATTCCGTGAACCAAATAAAAAAATAGTGATGAGTTCAACACGTCTGCGGGTGTAATTGATGTTTGTTAAAATTAATTTCTTGAGTTTTCCCGCTGGTTGGGCACGGAGTGGTCGGCAAGACGTGGTTATGCCGGGGACTCTCCCCTGTCATCACTGCGTAATGGGCTATCTAAACGTGTGTCGAGGGCCACTTGATAACGGCACAATTAGATTGTAGATAAAATGAATATAATAAGGTTATCAATTACTCATGTCGTTATGTCATTTTGCTAGGTGATGACTGAAGAGGCAAGGGTGGATGGCTCGCAGACCAGTCAGACATTATCATTTTCATCATCTACAGGGGTTATACAGGCACTTCCATATTTTCCCCAGAGTAATACAATTTTCAATTTTCATTGACGTTATGTATGATAAAGAAATTCATCAAACACACCGGCTGGGTTTATCATTTTTGCATTTATTACATAAACTTGTCAGAATTAATTAAACAGTTTCTTTACAGGCTTATCTAATAGCTTAACATATATTCCTATATCACCATATCTATGTCTTATAATTATGATACGTGTATATTCCATTTCTAATCCTATATGCAATTTATTATCCATATTTCCTCCATAGTTCCTCCACTTTTAGTCCATCATATCTTCATATCTCTATGCCCTCCATAAAGGCCTCTCTCTCTTCAATTTATTCACTCGTTGTGCCATCTATTCCTAATTTTCCTCCGCTCTTTTTTTCTCTTCACCTGACTTTTAATATATCTCCCATTTTCCCTCTTTGCACATAATCAACCAATCAAGTCCCACGCTCTTTTCACAACTGTCTCGCATCCCTCTTCACGCCCATCTTTCTGCCATCCTGTATATAACATCTCTCTCTCTCCCTCTTATCCACAGGTCTTCTGTCCTTATGGTAGTCTTTCTCTCTCTCTCTCCCTCTCTCTCCATTTGATCTCTATCTATCTATCTATCTGTAATTTGTTTTTATTCAAAAATTCATTGACACTTATGAAATTTCTACCTTTAAAATGGCTTTTATTTTAATGAGCAAATACAAGTAAATTGTCAACATGAGCAACCTGGACACAGATGTTACATCCTGGACACAGATACATCCAAGAGCTAGAACACATCTCTGGATACATATAATGTTCATTATCAGAGCAAAATATGATTTCATCTTTAAACATTACTGTTCCTTAATTCTGAACTACTTCAAAACGATGTAATAAATAAACATATCGATAACTGGATGCTTTTTGAACCGAGTGCCCAAATGAATTTGATATCATCTTCGCAACAGGCAAAACTAACTGATACTTGTACCAAGAACATACATGCCAACATTTGAAAATCAGAAATCTGTACAAATTATGCTATTTTAAAAAAAAAGAGGAACAATCCTAACTCTCCTATTCAATACTACAGACAAATTTGTACAGGAAGAGGAACACCTGCATTAAAATGATAATTATCTTCTCCCAAAAAGAGGAATGTTCCTCTTTAATCTGAACAGTTGGCATGTATGCAAGAAGTAAGATAGCACTGAAGTTACAGAGCACATGTTTAGCACCTACAAAAAAGGAACCTAAGATTTTGAATAGGCCCAAAATACCTTGACTTGGTCTTGAAATTCAACTTGAACATCAACATTAATATCAATGACAGCTTTGTTCATATTGCTGGGATATCCATCCCATAGAATGCATAAGGAGTGTAATACTTATGCCTGGGTTCTGGTCTAGGACTCACCCAGCAACCATTTGATCCACAGTCTTGATTATGTACTTGACTATACCACACTTTAACAAAGTTGAAGGTGTAAAATCAAGAAACTAACTAAAATCGAATTTACCATATTTATTTCATTTCATCTGAAAGGAACTATAAGGCCTATACCAGGAAACACCAGAAAACAGCTGTAAATTTTGTTTCCTCTAAAACCTCAACACAGATGAGTACATAATTAGGATAACCAGTTCATAAACAGAATCAATGTTTAAACTTATGCCATGGTTTTCAAGTAAAATACTTTTGCCATATTCAAAGGATAAACATTTCTTTTATATTTGTGATTTGTATATTTTGACACTTGTGATTTCTATACCTCCATAACACTTCAGCCATGATGTGTCTTTAAAATGAAATTGAAAGGCGTGCCATGTCCAATTCTGACTACACATAACACAATAAAACCAGGTGTGTACATGTAGTGCTGTGAGCAATGCCATTCACATAAAACATATTACAATAACTTATCTGTTACTGTGCCATTCAAGTTAAACAGGCACTGGTGATTGACACTTGGAAGACTAATTTGTAACTCCCCATTGCTTTTCAACTTATTTCTAGGTGACAAAAGTGACAACCAGATATAAGGCCATTTGTCCTCAGGGGGTAATTGTCCTAGAACCGGCCAAGGGTAAGTGACCATAATGCTACCTTGACTAATGGTCAGAAGTAAGTGACCATAATGGTAAATAACCTCAACAATAGGCCAGAAGTGACCATCATGGTACCATGCCTATGGACCAGGAGTAAAGTGACCATAGTATTATCTATTGGCCAGGGGTAAGTGACGATAATGGTACGTCACCTAATGGCCGGTTTTATGTGACCATAATGGTTCCTTAACCATTGGCTAGGGGTACGTGACGATAATGTTACGTTACTTAATGGCCAGGTGTATGTGACCATACTGATTCCTTGACTTCTGGCCAGGAGTAAGTGATTATAAGTGACCACTGCAATACCTTGACCTTGACTACAATGGTACCTTAACCTGTTGACTACTCAATTATCTTATCCCCATTGGCTTAATACAGGGATCACTTGGTTCCAGTAGACAATGGGTAAATAATTTGCATGGGGTAAGTGACCAATGGGTACCGTTACAATTGGATCAAGTGACTACAACAGTCTTTTGACCATTAGCCATACATACATAAGTGATCCAGGATCAAATGACCATAATGATACCTTGACAATGAGCAATTTACAATTACAGTACCTTAACCAGAGTAGGTGAATCGATAGTACCTTGACTATTTGCTAGGGGTAAGTGACCAATGGGTACCTTTAAAATTGGTTTACGTGACTACGACAATATACTGGCCATTAGCTTTAGGTATATGACCGTAATGGTACTTTGACTAATGGCAAGGGATGATTGACCAATGGGTACATTTACCATTGGGTTAAATGACAATGTGAGTACTTGACCTCTAGCCATTGGTAAGTGACCATGTGCTACATCATGATGCTATCATCTTTTACCAGGTAACCATGCATTTCCTAGTTAACCAATTGCATACTGGAACAGGGTAGTTCCTGTATTAAGTATATGGGCAATACACAAATTCAGTACTTAAAAAATTAAGGTACCATGATGCCATCGGGTAAAAGATAAATGCAAGTGACTACATCAGTATCTTGAGCATTAGCTTTGGGTATTAAAGTGACCATGAACTCCATCGCGATGATATCATCTTCTTCCAGGTACCCAAGCGTTACCATGGGAATCAGGTTTGTCTGTGTAAGGGATATCCCAGATCCAGGGCCGATCTGAAACAGGAAAAGAACAAAAACATTGGTTTTAGCAGAAATTTAAGAGGATTGAGGACAAAAGTCAATGTTTTCCTTTTTAAAAGATGTTTATAACACCTTAAGTAGATAATCCATATTATTAACGTTATGCTACATCTTTTATGGTGCCCAAGCAGTTATGTTGTAGAGTTGTCTGTCCATACCAATTTTTGTTATCAAGATAACTAGAGTACTATAGAAGATATCAGAACAAATCTAGGTTCAAGTATGTGCCAGCAAGGAATTAAGAATAAATTTACATAGAGGCATATTAGATACAAATCTAGTATTCATCCATTATTCCTTTAACTGATTCATTCTTTATATGCCACACATAATCTCCCTGCACAATATTGTATTTTCATGGGATAGATATACAAAAGGCTTCAGGATAAATTAACTGATTTCAGTGCAAGATTAATTAACATGGGCTTTAACAAAAAGATGGGTAATTTTGCAAAGCCATTGTGTTTCAGAAGGCAATCATTCCGTCAATTGGTGTCTGTTTTTTTCGCAACTACCACACTTGCAGAGAGGTGAAGAAAGAAACTGAAGTGCTAATGAGATCAATTAGGGAGTGAATTGATTTTTTTTTAATTATTGTTAAAAATATTCTCCTGTAAACAACCTTTTTGATTGTGATACAATGAAAATTTGTTTTATGTAATAACTACCAATCAGATGAATCTCTTCAAGGATGTAAATTACCTGTTTTAGAATAGGGTGTGAGAGGAACGTCCCAAGGAAGAGAGAATTCTTTCTGGCCACGCCCCTCCGTCAGAGAGAATGTCTTCCTACTCTTATCCTGCAAGAAGTAGTATGGAATGCTAAATACACATTGTGATTTCATTTCTAATCAAATGAGCACTTTTCTGAAGAAGAAAAAAAACATAAAAAGAGAACAAAGAACAACCCCCCCCCCCCCAAAAAAAAAAAAAAAACTACCACAACAACAACAGATAAATGGAGAAAGACTCGGAAAAAGACTCATAATTCTAAATGATTGTACAGCAAATGAAACTATTCAAATTTAAATGGTCTGATGAGCAATGTAAATGGAAAACATGGCTGTTCATTCACTCTTATTACATACCATATTATACATTAACACATTATACGATGAACTATTATTAAGTCTCAAGATCTGTGAATATATAACTCTGCAAGTGGAAGACTAAGCTAGCTTGTGAAGTCAGCGCGAAAAATCTATCAAGATTTAAACAGAGTAACAAGAGAGGAATATAATATGGCGAATGTAACCTGCTTTATGACAGGAAGAAAGGATGAAAATGAAGTGATTTTAATAAATGAAGCATCAGTGGTTGTCAAAAGAGATATGATTAATTACATCATGGTTGCCACAGGAGTGGAATAAGCAGATTGCGTTGTATGTGACCACACATGCAATGACAAATTTAAAATTGAATTTACAAAAGCACCCATAAGATTTACGGTTAATCAAATATTTCACTTCATCGCTTATACGAATCGGAAGAAAATGGATATATAACAATGATTAAATTGTGCATACATGATATAATAGCTAGTGCAAAGAAATCTCTACTTTGAATGATTGTGAGACTGTGTGGTTTCAATTACAACAAAACAAGATTGAGAAAGAAGGAATTAATCCTGATGAGAGCAAAAAAGAAGCAGGAACAAAAAGATCATTTAAAAAACTAGAAATATAGAATGGGATAAACGGTGGAAGATGATAAGAGAGCTACAGAGAAAGAAATTGAGATGAGAACACACACATGTAGAGGAAGAGAGAGAGAGAGAGATGAGGTGGAGGAGAGAGGGGAGGTGTCACATCAAAATGGAAGGGGATAAATATATAAATATAAAATAGGGAGAAGTGGCGATAAAATATAGAAATATAAAAGAATACAATTAAAGATAAGAATGACAAAATTTATTGCTGTGAAAGAAAGGGAATAAAAGAAGCAAGTAAGAGATGAGAGAGATAGATAGATAGAGAGAGAGAAAGATAGATAGAGAGAAAGAAAGAGAAAGAGTGAGAGAGAGAGAGAGAGATCATAGAGACCAAGAATATAACTTGTGAAGGAAACAAACACAAGAGGAAAATGACAGAAAGATTGATGACTGGCCATCGAACATGACTTTTCACCCTTTTGTAATGAAATGGATAGACCCTATCACAAACTATTACATCTAACACTGTCAACATATGTACAATTGGACTTGTCTAACGCAATTACAAACTCCCTAATTTGATTACCATGAAACCCCCAGCACCTAAATGTGTGTACAGTACATTCTCTTAGCAATATTTCACAGCATGCCATGAATAAGGTAAACTACCATTAAATCATCAAACCCCCCAAATGGACAGTTATTTTGTTCTTTCAATCACAAGCTCTGAAATAATACACTTTTGCTAACGGAAGTAAAGGCATGACAGGTTTGTATAGTAATAGTAAGGGAAAGACAACCGAGTCAATATAATAGGGTGTATTTACCTTATAAGTGGGGCACATTTGCTGCCAGTTCTGCTACAATCTTGCAATAAATCATTTCTAATTTCCACACCGGTTTGACATCGAAATTTGTAAAATACATGCACTTAGAGCGGGGAGAAAGGGGGCAGATCTAAGCTGTAATTGTTTCATTGGATTCGCAAACACTCGTAATATGACAGCTCTTTGTGCTTATGCTCAGGAATCATTTCATTTCACTATTTTGAGTTAAACAAGAGAAATAATCAGATAAACCACGACATGTTTGCTTCGTTTCTTGATGGCCATGTCTTGTACTACTCTTTTCTTTTCAATGGATGAATAAAGTTGGTGACTAAAGGTATTTTACATCAATGGCAGAAACGGGCACCGTTTGATTTTGATCAAAAGCAAGGCTTTTGTCATCACAGTCACTGCGCTTGATTTTTTCTGAGAGGACAACTGATTTGGTCTTTTAAGAAACTTTTACAATTATCTATTGAAGCCAAACAAATTTGCTTTGATATTAATCACATAACATGTCACTCTTAACCATTAAAACTAAGGATTGAAAAACGTCATTTCATTTATTGGTTTATTCTTTGAATCTGAGTGACTTTCAAACCTTTCTACTGAGAACAAAGAAGAAAGAATACAAGATTGGCAATATTATGCACAAGTCATGTATTCTGAAAGAATGAGGAATGACCAATAAATTTGAAAGAATAGAAATAATTGAAGGATAAAAAATGAAAGGATAAAAGGGTGAAAGATATTCTGAAATATTAATGGAAATATGATGAATACGCTTTAGGGCAGATATGCTATAATCAAAGATAAGTGATGACTGTAATGAAAAATGATCTCATGTAAAAATGAAAGATGACAGAAATGATGAAGAAAAAATATTTATAATGAGAGAGTGAGTGTACACTTGTCTTACCACCCCTTTCTGAATCACTCTATTTTTTCATCTATTATATATATCAATATGCACTTAATTACAACATTTCAAAAGTTTAAAATTAAAATGTATTAATCTTAATATCTATGCAAAGAGATAAATAAATATTGAAGAGAATAATGGCTTAGTATCTCTCTCATCTTCCTATTTCCATTTTAATATTTTATGAACTGTGATGCATATTCACACAACTTTCCTCACATGTTCTCTTTCCTTCCTCTCTTACATATTTCTCTTTCCCTACTTACCTATGTATTGTCTTTCTTACTTCCTTATGTATTCTCTTTCCTAACCCACTCCCCCTCTCTCTCTCTCTCTCTCTCTCTCTCTCTCTCTCTCTGTGTTTCCCTCCCTCCCTCTCCCTCTTAGGATGCTTCATGCATAGTGTAAAATGCATGACTTAAAAAAAAACAACTAATCATTGATATTTTGTGAAATCAAAAATTAAAAATGTAACAACATAACAAAAAAACCTCTTTATAATTTTTGTGTATCAATATTATATTATTCATAACAAGATGATTACATCTGTGACCCTAATATGCCTCCTCCTATATGCATATTCATTAATCAATGATCATGGGACCTTTAGCATCTGACCTCACAAACTCAAACTCTTTTCACTTTATCTTGTCTTACTCATACATACTTGAGCAAAGTTTGGTTGACATTTGTTCAATGTTCATAAAGTTATCACAGTAATAAGATATTTCCTGGAATTTTTAAAACACTTTCATGACCTGTGATCTTTCACCTTTGACCTCTTGCTTGTACACTCAAAATCTATTCAGTTCATCATTGCATGCTCATCAGGGGCGTAGACAACGGGGGGGATGAGGGGGATGCATCCCCCCCACCTCACAAGGTGGGGGGGATGGCATGTACAATCATCCCCCCCAGGTTTTGGGGGATGATATTTGCTTACTTAATAAGTCATAATGATGATAATAATAGTAATAATAATAATGATAACAATTATAATATTAATAATAATAATAATTATGATGATGATAATAATAATCCTCATCATTATTGTAATTGTGTTTATTGTTATTAGCCGCATTAGGTTAGGGGGTTTAACCCCTACCCCCCCCCCCCCTTGGGCGGCCCAACAAACAAACAAAAAAAAGGGGGGGGGGGGAAAGAAGAAGAAAAAAAGAAAAAAAGAAAGAAAAAAGAACGCACGCTGGAGAGAAACCCAGTCAAGTGCAAATATTGTGAGAAGATATTCAACTCATCTGGTAACTTAACCAAACACATGATAACTCTGGATATAACTGTGTATTTAACTGTTACTTGATTTTAAAAGACGTTATCATGCACTGCTTTTCATGGTCTCCATTGTGTTAATAGATGCCAGGAAAACATCACTTACGGGGTTCAAATAAACACCCCAAAAAAAATCGGCTCGCCGCTTTGCGGCTCGTGGACGATGCTCTGCATCGTCATTATTTTGGTCAACCCCCCCCTTAGCAAAAAGCTAGATCTGCCCCTGAGTCATCCCCCCCAGGTGTACGAACCTGTCTACGCCACTGATGCTCATAATACTTTGTCCAAGTTTGGTTTGAACTGCTTCTCAATGCTTTTCTAGTTACTGTGGTAAAAAGATATCTTCGGTTTTTTTTAAAAACACTTTTATGACATTTGGACCTTTGACCTCCAATACTTAAAATCTAACCTGTTCACCCTTGCATACTCATACATATTTCTTTTCATGTTTGGTTTCAAGTGTTTCAATTCTTTTTTAGTTATCATGACATGGTGACAAGACTTTTTTTGGCATTTCTAAACACTTTTATGACCCTGTGATCTTTGACCTCTTACAACAAAAAACATAATCAGTTCATCCTTGCATGCTCATATGTATTCGATCTAAGTTCGGTTAAAATCTGGTCAACTTCGTGGTAAAGAAAAGCGGAATGGATGGACAACCCACAAAATAATGCCTCTGGCAACACCTTTGGTGGTGGACGGAGGCATACAAATTATATCATTTTATTCATGTCTTATTCAAAACTTTGCAAATATTGAAATTTTATAAACATTCCTAACCTAATGGGAAGATACAAGTCTATTAAAAACTAAACCCTTCAGATTACTAAAAAAACAAAACAAAAAAAACAACAAAAAAAAAACACACACAAAAAGAAAAAAAAAGAAAAAAAAAAAAAATCACTTTTGAGCAAGCACAATAGGAGATAGTCCACCCTAACAACAGCATTCCCCAAGATATTGTTCATTTGATCATATTATCACCTTCAATCTATATGAAATTGGTCATGTGACTGTTTCTTAAACACGATTCAAACAATGACGTCATGATATTTTATCATAATTATATCAATGTTCAGAGAGAGAGAGAGAAAGAAATATAAAAATGATACAAATGAGAATGCGCAAAAAAACCCCAAGAGAAATTCATTAGATGTACATCATTGCAGCATATGTCTTTAAGAATTTCCAGGTTCATATTGCCCTGAGCTCGCCATGCCTTGGGCGGAGAGAAGAAAGCGTTAGGAAGAATAAGAGCAAAGGGCTTCTGCTTCAAAGCTGCCAAAGTTGACATCGTTTTCTCTAAGGTATCCAGTGGAGTCAACAAGTCACAAAGCGAGCCAGTTCTTCAAAAGGATGTGCAAAATGAGCCAGGGACAAGATCTCCTGAAGTACCCAGAAACATTGTGACTTTAGAGTTACCAGATGAGCAAAGAAGGGTCAAAGTTTCAGCAGTCAGTACAGACATCAACCCAGTTTTGGAAGAAAGACTGGAAGATTCAACTGCAATTTCAGAAGAAGATGTTGTAGATCAAGTCTCGTCTTGATCAGAACTTTGTCTGAGAGACCGAGTGAATCACCAACAAACCCTGCAAGGATTTCAAATTCACAGACATCAGGATGATCAAGACCCTTACGAACAATCCTTCACCTTCAACTCAAGCAAGTACCTCTGTCATGACTGTGAGAGATCACCGTGTAGAGGCATCTACTTTCACAGCAAGAGTGCCAGACGGACACTTAAGGTCAGGAGATGAGGAGGTTATCTGGAATGCAGGATCTAGAGATGTATTGTGCCAAGTGTTGCAGAGACCGTAACACCCAATGGCTGACGAAATAAAATAATCTTCGGCATAGCGGGTCGAGGGAAAATCAGAAAAAGTGAAACTCTGTCCTTCCAAAACGTTCTAGCGATATCCATTGATCAGTTAGGGCTTGTCACGTGGAACAACATTCTGTTATTACTGCACAAATGGAAAGAGCAAGGACTTAATCACCTTTGGTAACTGCGGTGAAGATGCGTTCACATTGGATCGATTCTGCAACTGGAGAAAGTGCTTCAGTCAAATTTCCATGAGGAGGTAGAAACAAAAGTTGGCGTTCATGACGATCCTCAGATGGATGTATTGGTAGCATTGAAACAAGATCTTTAAAAGACACGGGAAACACGTTGCTTGATGCTGATGAAGCAGATTAGCAATTTGAGGTACCTGGCAAGACAGGGGGCTGGGTATTCGAAGATACTCCGAACTAGAAGGTAATCTTCAACAGATTTTACTGTTGAGAGCATAGGACGTCCCTGGTTTGAAGGACTGGGTTGAAGAGGAACTGTACCTCAGTTATGGAGTCATCAATGAAATACTGGAAAATACTGGGAAATAGAGTTCTCAGGACTATCTTCGAAACATGTTCGGCAATCTCTGCCTTTTAGCATTATAACTGATGAGTCAAGAGATATTAGTAATAAGGAGGGGGGTGAATCTTAATGATATGTTGGTGAACTAGGATTTTATCGGCTTGTATAAACTAGAAAAGACAGACAACCAAACGGCATCATCGGCTCTGAAAGATATCATAACCTGTTGCAACCTGAAAATACAGGACTGTATGTGGCAAGGGTATGATGACGCCCCCACAAGAGTGGGGTGGCTGTACATCTGCGAGAGCAGTGTCCGTCTCTCTTTCTACAATGTGCGAACCATAGCCTTGATTTGGCCCTGCAAGGTATGGTAAGAGAGAGCAAAATGCTGAGGAACACTCTAGACTGTGTACAGGAGTTAGCACTTTTCATCAAGGCATCACCCAATCGTATGGCACAGTGCCATAACATCACTGCAGACTTTACAGAGGCAGAAGAACTCCACAAACTGTGTCCGACAAGATGAACAGATATAGCGCCACCATATTGAGCTGCTGCAGTGATTTTTAGTGATTCTAAATTTCATTTTTGTAATACTATTTTGCGGCTTCTATTTCTCTGTTAGAAGGATCTCAGTTCTTTCTCATCACTACATGGAGTCATTTTAGCTATCTCATCTACGGGTTTTCATCAATTTTCACCATGTTTTGGACCTCTGTACTTTTCGTTTCTGCACTGTCATTGCATAGATTTCTGTGCTTAGCACCACACATATAAAGTGAACGTGAGTACTGCATACCATCGACTGTGACTTTGACTTTGTACATGTTGAATGACAAAGTGAACTCGTACCCCTGTACAGTTAATTGAATTCACGTATCTGGATACATTTTATTTGTTTTGATGTAAACATTTATTCATTTTTGCTAGCAATATTTTATATCTTACATATTTTTTGTATCTTTTTTTTTGTTGTTTTTTTTGTTACTGCTTTGATGATTTGATGTAAACATTTATTCATTTTTTTATATTTGTTCTCATTTGCTATGTTTTCTTTATTTTACATATATGTTTTTGAATGCTTTTTTATATGACTGTATGTTTGATGTAAACTTGCATTTTTAGTCTTTGGACTCTTTGACAAGTCTTGAATAAAACCTCATTTGAATTGAATTGAACAGTGCGAACAAAAGCCATCTCGGGAGTACGTCCTGAAGAGAAAAGCCCTCTCCCAAATATTGTGACTCATTGCAGATGAGAGGACATCCAGTGATAGAGACACTGCTGAAGGCTTAGAAAAGAAGCTAAACTCCTTCGAAATGGTATTCGGCCTGAACCTCGCTAAGAAGCCGTTTAGCGTCTCCGAGCCAGTCGGAACAAGCCTACGACAACCGTCAATAACAGCTCAGACGACAGTGAAATGCGTGAAAGCCCTCGTGGCCAGGCACAAAGACAGTCTTTCGAGCTGGTACATGAAAAGGCTAGGAAAGAATGTACTGTGGGACCTAACCTTCCGAGACAACGGCGAGTCCCAAAACGTCTTAAACATGGAAGCGCTGAGGAACACAAATTTTCAACTGCCATGGAGCACTACCGATGTCAGTACTTTCAGGCAATCAATGAGTGTTCCACTAGAGTCATTGAACGCTTTGACCAGCCAGCCTATCAAGTGCTACGCTATATTGAAGACGTTATCTTGAATGCTTCTTATGGGATCCAGGAGAACAGCATTTCAACAAGAGTAAAGGAGTTATACTTGACATAGGGCTATTGTGCCAAGTTGAGTCTGATTTTAGAAAATTCACTTATATGGACATAATTGTATGTGCTATAGCAAACAGTGATTGTGCCAATCGAAAGCTAATGGGATCCAGGAGAACAGCATTTCAACAAGAGTAAAGGAGTTATACTTGACATACATTGACTATGTCATGCTAGTAGAGGATCTGAAACTGCTCGGAGGACTATTGCGCCAAGTTGAGCCTGATGTTAGAAAATTCACTTATATGGACATAATTATATCTTCTATATCAAACAGTGATTGTGCCAATCGAAAAATGTGAAGAAGCTCCTTCACATGTATCTTCTTGCACCAATGAGGCAAGAGATCATTCTCAGTGCAGAGGAGAATAAAGACTTATGTCAGAAGCACAATGAAGGCCGGAGCAGAGGTATAATAACCTCTTGATCCTGCACATTCATAAGGCCAGAGTAGACGCACTTGATGTCACAGCCATTGCCAGGAAATTCTTATACAGAAATAAACAGCGAGTACAGTTCTTCAGAAAATTCTTAGAATGATGTAAGTACAGTGGAAATTTTCCTTTGGTAAGAGGAAACACTTTCTCGCTGTTCACTGACATTATGTTTGACATAGCACAATGTGGGGCAAAGAGCTTTGTTCTTTTAGGATTTCGATTTCGATTTCTGCTTAACTATAAATGATTAAATGCAGAATAAAGTTTTTTTTAAATGTAAAAGCCTCAGTGTTCAAAATACAAATTTTGACATCGTTTAAAGCTTATCTGCCGTAGTTTACATGAGGGATTAGACTGCCCTGCAAGGTCACTGGACAGGTGGTTATCTCATCAACTCAGTTCTCAGTTAACATAAGAAAAAGAGGTTCATGGGGGACCAGTGGTCACCGATTAGGCATTGTTTGTTATATAGAGGGCGCAAGTAGCTACAAGTAGTGCAGTGGGCCTTTAACATCTATGCAAGCAGAATACACAATCCTAAATGTAATGAATGATTTAAACAAAGCTTGAATTAAAAGAGCTGACAAAGGAGTGGTTTGGGGCAAGATTATTTTTTTTCCTTTTTTCAGGAGTGTGCCCTTTTCAAAGGAGGAAGTGGTCTTTTTCCATTTTGCGCCCCCCCCCCCCACGTTCGAATTTGCTCCGCCCCCTGGGCACTGAGGAACCAAGACTCGAGTCCAGGTATTAGTCTGAGTCTCATCATTACATGACCAAGGCTGAGAAAACCTGGCCATGAGGCCAAATCCACCCAAGAGTCCTTCAACACTGATGTTAAACATACATGAACATATCAAAGGGGCTGTAGCATGACTAGACTATGTGTCTTTCCCGTAGCCTGACTCAGGGCCAATCGGGTATAATACGACTACGGACGATGTGACCGCAGTAGGCCTACGTATTCACGAGCATGCAACATCTATGAAACTGAAGCGTGAGGAGAACTTTGGTCTATTTCGCGAATGTTAGCGCGCTGACTCAGTTAATCAAGTCCATTTGTTTACTTGCAGTTGTCCAAAAGAAGTCGTAGATGGCGTTAACCAGTATTTGCCATATTACAGCCCCTTTAAATCAAACACAAGAAGGTGTCTGGTACTTACAAAGAAACTTGGGATCATCATGACTCCAATCTCATATGAACGAATCATCAGCTGACTGGCATTCTTCTCATAGGCTCCCCATGCTGCTTTAGACAAATTAGCACTGTGAGGAGAAGTAGAGACCAATTATATCAGTGTTACACTTAGGGAACACATTGTGAAAAAGAAGAAGAAGAAGAAGGAGAAGGAGGAGTAGGAGGAGGAGGAGGAGGAGAAGAAGGAGGAGGAGGAGGAGGAGGAGGAGGAGGAGGAGGCGGAGGAGGAGGAGGAGGAGGAGGAGGAGGAGGAGGAGGAGGAGGAGAAGGAGAAGGAGGAGGAGAAGGAGAAGGAGAAGGAGAAGGAGAAGGAGAAGAAGAAGAAAAATGTGTGGATTAGCAATTGAATCCAATGACAAGGGTAATAATGATTATTATATACCTCTCTTTAGTATGTTGAATAAATCTAGTCAACTGATTGGTCGAAATTGTAGTCGTGATTTTAGCCATGCCTGCCTACCGGTCAATATTTTTTTATAAGATGCCTGCATGCTCGCCTAACGGTCAATAGTTTTTTTTAAAGATGCCCGTTGCCCCGGGTAACGGGCCGCATAAATAAATTTTGCTGAGATTCCCATTACGTGTAAAAAGTTTCTGCAAGTGCGGATACCATACAATGCTTTTTGTCTGCGATTTCCGAGTGAACATGACATTCAGGCAACTTTCCAGCGAAGATTTACAGACAGCGTCTCAGATTTTCTGTGATTTTTAACCAGTCTTGACTCAAGAAAAGGATAAGGTAAGAATTCTTTGTAGATTTGTTTGTGAATTTGGTATATATATATCAACTGCTTTAATATTTGAAGCACAGCTGTTTCTCTACTGGCTCTCGGGGATGTTACATCCTGATATAACCCCTCGGTGCGCCTCAGGGTCATATCAGGATGTAACGTCCCCTTGAGCCTATAGAAACAGCGAAGCCTCTCAGTAGTCAATATTTCTATACTATTTAACCCTATTTTAATTGGGCTATTTCAGACCAGGTTTTTACTGGGGGGGGGGGGGGTCAATTTGACCCCCCCTTAAGATCTCGGCCGTTTCACGGCCGATCGCCGCAAAAATTTGCATACATGTCAAATGAAGTGTATAGAATACTATGGTAATTTCAATTTTTTGAAAAATTCATTCATTTGCATATTTATGGTAATTTATGCAAATAAGGTCATAAAATTCACATTTTTGCCCATAAATCATACATTATTCAAATTGAAGCATTCTTTTTTACTACATATATTTGTTAGACCATTTGGAATAATAATACAACACAAAACATTGGAAGAGCCAGGATATTCCTTATGTTATCTCTTGTTTCGATAATTTCTTATGTATTTCATTGTTTTTTTAACTTATGTATTTTATTGTTTTTGTTGTTTTTGTTGTTTTATTTCATTTATAACTACAATTCAACTATTTTGACCCCAAAACAAACACCTAAACTTTAAACAAGACTAAATAACCAATGCTTCATCTCTTTTTAGGAAAAATGACATTTCCATATGTTTTGTACACAAATCACAAAAATGAGCGATTTTCGGGCTGACATGCGAAGACAAAAGGTCATGTGACTTTGTAACTTTACGTCCGATTTTCGAAAAAAATTGTTTTAAAAGATGCGTTAGACTCAAAAGAAAAAAGTCATGAAAGGAAAATTTTATATCTGTGCGGTTTCGGAGTAGTCGCGAAATTTCTACAGGGGGTTGACCCCCCCCCCCCAGTTAACGTAGGGTTAAAGCATCCAGAAACGTAATATTAAGCACTGTACAAATGTGACCGTCATTACTATTATTATTATTTTTGAATGTAAAGAAAACAATTGTGTGGCTTACCTTGTTACCATGAACCAAGCAATTTCTTGATCATCAGGAGACAGCCTGGTGTAGGTCTTGATGTGAGGGCAAGCTCTGTTACGGCCTACCTGAGATGCCTTCCACTGGCTGAATACAATACAAACAACATTGAGAGCATTCATAGGGGTTTCTATTAAAATACATAGAATGGGAGTGACAAGAAAGAAAAGTGCAAGAGAGGGAGGGGAGGGGGGGGGGAGAGGGGATAGGGAGGGGGAGGATTGTATGACACATGCTCTTGTGAATATTGCTCCACAGTCAATATCACACACTAACCTACAATCTTAACGTCAACACTTAATCTAAACCACACCTAACCTGTACTCTAAACCCAAGTCTTTGCTAAAATAAAGCATGGATCAATTATCACTGGATGATAAATAGAATAGAATAGATTAATAGAATATTCTCTGAGAGAGAGAGGGAGATGAAAAGAAGAAAAAGCAGGGGGGGGGAGGAGGGTGCTGATTAGAGAGGGTAACATACTTCCTGCCTCCCACACAATAAAAATTAAACATCAAACATCTCACAAAGTAGTCTGAAAGGGTGTTTGCTAAGTAATCATACATCCATATATGCATTACTTAACAAAAGTCATTGGACCATATTCATGGAGGAGGGTTTAAGTTAAACTGCCGTGGACTAAAATACGTATATTTGTGTGATACTGCCCATTAGACATGAGAGCATGTCGTGTGACACTTAGGAAGATTTAATCCATCAATTAGAATAAACTTCCTTTACGATCCTAGGCCATTTAGTCTACAGGATTGATCATCATCATCATCATTTATTTCCCCTCTTAAATGATTCACTGACTTTTTGTGCCATGAAGCCACTCCCTCCCTTCACTTCATCTTGTCTCAAGCATCCTCCTCATTTAAACCAACCTTACTGCTTTCTTTCTTCAACATATTTTTCCACGAAAGGAAAAAAATGGAGTAGCATTAGTGCCTCAAGTGTATAGTATAGAGAGAACACTAGTCTATCCATTTTCAAAACTGCCCTAAACAAACACATGTTGGAATGATTGCTAACTGATCAATCTGGACCATTGAGACTAAAATATTCTCTTCCTGGTGAGCAACTGAAATCAACTGGCTGACTAGAGGTGTTGTGGTCTAATGGACAAGTCGTTGGACTGTGGATCACAGGGTCTGTGGTTCGAGTCCTGCCACGGCACTAATGTCCTTTGGCAAGATATTAATCTACATTTGCCACTCTCCACCCAGGTTTTAAATGGGTACCCGTTAGGAAAGAACTCTTTGAATGCTTTAGCAGCTCAGCTACAGCTGTGGGAATAATACGATACTTTGTATTAAGCGCAGTAGAGTATATTCATATAGTAGCTGCGCTATATTAATGGACATATTAAAGTGACTCGGTAACATTGTTGAAGGTTGATGAAAAAATTGCTTAATTTTTGTATAAAATGTTACTTACTATATTCCTTCTACTGTACTAACACTCTGACATGCAAAACAACCTGAAAAAATTCTCAAACCACAAAGATATCAATGGTTTTCTTTGAAGGCGTCAATGTATGACACCCTCTAACAGTGATTAACAGTAAATTCTCCCAACCATTTTTGATTTTTCCCAACCGTTTTTCCATGAAAAAAAGATATAAAACAGGCTATAAAAAATCTGTCAACACTCAAATGTCTGGAATGGAATGTAGAGCCATTTTATTGCTTTGTGACGATTTACATTCACCTAAAATATAATCAAATTGTAATAATATAGTTGGGAGAATTAAGGAATCGATCAGATCAGTTTTTCCCAATTTGTATCATGAATAATGGTCCGTTTTCACTCAAATTTTCAGATCCTCTTTAATTGCACATCTATCATTGAAGTCACTACCTTAGCACCACTTTCTCTCATCTGAACAATGTTACCAAGTCCCTTTAAGAAAACGAAGCCAACTTACAAGAAGAATTGGTGAAGATAAGGTTGCTTCTTGGCTGTCTGTATGCTGTACGGTAATGAGGCTCCTGCAGGGTAACCCTCTAGGCTTGTTCTCACATTGTCAGAACATGGAAAAATCTAGCAAGACAAAAAAAAACAGTACCGGTATTCAGAGAAGTGTTCTCACGTAAGTCCAGGTTTGAACCCCCATTAACCCATTTCAGTGTAGTGTCACCTTTTAGTGATGTTTAATTCGAATCTTTTTATCCAAAATGCTTTGAATACAAAAATTGTACATGAGCAGAAAGTGTAAAAAGTTGCTGAAAAAAATTGAGTTCATTTCTGATGTAATACATTGTGGCGTTCATGAATAAGAGCATTTTCATAGAAAACGGTCATCAAAGTCTCTTGACAACAATCTCTTAACAGTGTTGCTATGAAAGGGTTAAAGAGGATAGATTCTTCTTTGCATTAAGAGATTGGGTAGGAGTAGAAAAGAATAAATGATTTTGATGATTACCAGCTTCATATGTCTTGTGTCTGCATTGGAGGTGAATGACCCTGATTGACCTTTCACAGTTGACATACTCTGAAGAAACTCGGCACACAGCCACTTGGTCTTGTCGCCACCCAGAGAGCCAATGCTAGAGAACTGACCAATGACCGGCCAGGTCTGGACCTGCTCTTTGTCTGGGCCATACTGCCGTAAAATCTGCAACAGAATGTTCATTTTAAAGATAAAGTTGAAGCTAATCATGAATTGCATTGTGAAAACTAAAATATGACTAGAAGCTATAGGAAAGACTGATTACGTAATAAATAAATCAAATTTCGTATTGCAAGGTTTTGAAATCATCAAAATAATAAAACAAATCAAAGTAACCCAACCTTGCTGAAAATCACATGCAGTGATAGGTCTGCAAGCAGATACAGGCATATGGGATAGTACATACATGTATACAGGGCATTACAATATGGTCCAACAACAAAAAAGAAGAATAAAGAGGAGAAGATACAGAAGGAGAAGGAAGAGAAGAAGAAGAATAAGGAGAAGATATATATAGAAGGAGAAGGAAGAGAAGAGGAAAATGAAGGAAGAGAAGATACATAAGGAGAAGGAAGAGGAGAAGAAAATGAAGGAGAAGGAGAAGTAAGAGAACAAGAAGAATAAGGAGGAAAAGATACAGAAGGAGAAGGAAGAGAAGAAGAAGAATAAGGAGGAAAAGGTACAGAAGGAGAAGGAAGAGAAGAAGAAGAATAAGAGGAAAAGATACAGAAGGAGAAGGAAGAGAAGAAGAAGAATAAGGAGGAAAAGATACAGAAGGAGAAGGAAGAGAAGAAGAAGAATAAGGAGGAAAAGATACAGAAGGAGAAGGAAGAGAAGAAGAAGAATAAGGAGGAAAAGATACAGAAGGAGAAGGAAGAGAAGAAGAATAATAGGAAAAAGATACAGAAGGAGAAGGAAGAGAAGAAGAAGAATAAGGAGGAAAAGATACAGAAGGAGAAGGAAGAGAACAAGAAGAATAAGGAGGAAAAGATACAAAAGAGGGAGAAGGAGAAGAAAGAGAAGAAGAAAAAGAAGGAGAAGAAGATACAGAAGAGGGAGAAGGAGAAAGAAGAGAACAAGAAGAATAAGGAGAAGATATAGAAGGAGAAAGAAGAGAAGAGGAAAATTAAGGAGAAGAAGATACAGAAGAGGGAGAAGGAGAAGGAAGAGAAGAAGAAGAATAAGGAGAAGATATAGAAGGAGAAAGAAGAGAAGAGGAAAATGAAGGAGAAGATACAGAAGAGGGAGAAGGAGAAGGAAGAGAAGAAGAAGAATAAGGAGAAGATATAGAAGGAGAAAGAAGAGAAGAGGAAAATTAAGGAGAAGAAGATACAGAAGAGGGAGAAGGAGAAGGAAGAGAGAACAAGAAGAATAAGGAGGAAAAGATACAGAAGGAGAAGGAAGAGAAGATGAAAATGAATGAGAAGAAGATGCAGAAGAGGGAGAAGGAGAAGGAAGAGAAGAAGAAGGAGAAGATAGAGAAGGAGAGAGAAGAGAAGAGGAAAATGAATTAGAAGAAGATACAGAAGAGGGAGAAGGAGAAGGAAGAAGAAGAACAGCAAAACTTTGTTTTTTATAAAGTAGTTGACTGATAAAATGTTTGTTTCCTTACCTTTCTGACCTTGAGGTGACCCCATTTATTTTTCAATTCTCTGGCGTGTCTTCCAGGCACTGATGAAATAAGAAATACCCTGCACAAGATAGGAATTAATTTCTATAGCAAGTACATACAGCCTAATTTCACAACACCATGTGTTTTGGGGCCTCTATTTCCTTCTTGAATTATGCTAGAAATGGTATTCATTCTATATCTGAAATTTGGACTTCACGCAACATTGAATGGAAAATTGATTTTTAGTCAGAAATGTACGATTACAAATATAATGTTTTAAGACACTTGAGTTAATTTTAAATATTAGACAATCAGAGAGGATTGTAGGGCTTTAAAAAAAAGCTTGTTGTAATAACTGGAACATGTGATCTAAGGTCCAATATTGAATCTGGACTGGGATTTATCTATTAAATAAAGATGGATAAAAATGGCAAACCTAATTGGATTAAATGTGTTTGATTGATATGTGTCATTAAAAATCAGATTCAACTGTATTTAAAATGTTCAACCACAGACCCTACTCAATATCTTATCATAGAAGATTGATAAACCATAATAAAATCAAGAAACCAAAACCTCTAAAGATTATTACAACTATGAAATACAAACTGCTAACTATTATCATTTATAGCTACAGGTATTACACAGATGTTTGACTTACTTTGCACTTGAAAAATCATGTTGAGTAATGTGATCTTTCCATGGTTGTAGCGACGGTGATCTGTAAGCTGTTAGATAAGCTAGTAGATCTCTTTTGAAGAAGCTTGGTGATTCTCCATTGGTTGCAGTCTGTTCGGATGAAGGTAGCTTTGGAAACAGAGGACTGATCCATACTCTAATGAAACATTGGTCAAAAGAAAGAAAGAAAGAACAAACACTTTTATCAAGAGGCAATGTCAATACTGAAGAGAAACTGCTTTTGGTTTATTCTGATCAAATGATTTGATGAATTCATCACATATTAAAGGGATCCGGTAACTTTGTCTCAGATTCTAAAAAAAACCTTTAGGTCAGTCAGGAACCCCAAGACTTTTTCACCTGTCTGATTATCAAGATATTTTTTATTGGAAATCGAAACCAAATTTTGCGTTTTCCTAACAGTTTTCATAACACTACAGTCTATTGGGGCAAATGAGTATGGTAAAACCAGTCACTCAAAGATATCTACCTTTTTGAGGCACTTCTTGATCATTTTGAAGCGCAATTTTTTTTAGGGCTTCAATACTACACCATATAACAGACACTGATAACACGTAGGGCCGTGCATCTCAGATTTAACATTGTTTAACGGTGCCTTTTTGAGGTAAATTTGACCATTTCAAAAATAATACATCAATTTAATAAAATCAAAAGCACCAACAAAGATATGTATATAGAAGACTATTTGAAAAATACAAAAATAACAGCACCTAGAATTGAAATTTAAAGGATATCAATGATTATTAGAAGACAATCAACACAGCTTTGTGAGGGAACTTTTTTTGAACAACATGATGGTTGAACAAAAGAGCACTTTTACTTTTCATGAACCTCTTAAAGGTTAACAACTAGTATTATCAAATTATCTTACACACCAAGGGCAGCCTTATTCTCTTAATGCAACATACTTAAAATTGTGATGATTGATGATTGTTAAAAGTTATGTTAAAATGTGATTATTTTGTATGTATTTATATATTTATTTACATGTATGCACCTTTGAATGTACGAAAACAAATTTTATGTATTTTTTACTCTTGAATCACTAATTATGTAATATTAGGGACATCTTAACCTACCCTTGTGTCTTCTGATGCCAATCACTCTCAACGATGTTAGCTGTATGAATCACCACTCGCATTCCATCAGCATAGAGAAGAAACATCATCTTACTGCAAGAGAAAGAATAATTCCATTATTGTCCTTTATATCCCTTCCTGGCTGTTGGGAGCAAATACAGACTGAGAGAATTAACTGCTCTTCTAAATATGTGGACTGAAAATAGCTTCTTATGACTTCCTACATTACAAAAAAATTTATACAGTATAAAGGTTGTTCTCATAATTGTTCTTAAATACCAATTCAACTAGAATTATCGCAATCTATATTGCCGCGCAATGCGAATGTATCCCCTGGCAGTGGCAGTGATTTTGTGTATTCCTTATGTTTGAAGGAGGGACAAAGATCCCCTCTCCCTCCCTGAAACAAAAGGATGACCTACAGAGGTCGCCACTAGTGGCTCAGGCTATTGCCATGACTAGGAGCAGCATTACCAAAACAACAAGTCAACGCAAAGCGTAGCATCCCCTCGCAGGGTACAAATGGCCTATATACGTCAGAACAAGTTACCTCCATTGGACTACACTATTATATTACTAGGCAAGGAAGTTCACCACATTTTCACATAACTAATTAGGTGTTTTTGCATTATTTAATGAGCTATAGAGTGGTGAAGTGTGACGTCATCAAAAATCAATTTTTTAGAATTTCTCAATTTTTTCTTCATATTCCGAAAGAACATCAAAAATAATTTCCAAATGTCGAAAACCAATCGAATATGTTAAGTATTGGTTGAGATATGACCATCTGAATGAATATATGTCCTATGGGAACTCAGTGTTATATACTCTGGCTCCTAACCATTAGGAGCCAGAGCATATAACACTGAGTTCCTATGGGGAGTATATTCATTCAGATGGTCATATCTCAGCCAATACTTAACATATTCAATCGGTTTTCGACATTTGGACATTATTTTTGATATTCTTTCGGAATATGAAGAAAAATTAAGAAATTCTAAAAATAGATTTTTATGACCTACATACTCAGAAATCGAACTTAGGCTGTACATGTATTTTGATACCATGTACCTTCATATTAATTTCATTAAAATTTGTCAAACATTACTCAAGTTATCGAATGGAAACCAGATTGCATATTTAATGAGCTATGACCTTTGACCTACATACAGTATTGCTTGAAATAAAGTAGACACATTACCACCAAGTCACACCAAGGTCTATGGGATAATGCATGCATTCACGCGTGACACAGTGTGAGACTGTCAACTTTATTCCAAGCAATACTGTACTCCGAGATTGAACTTGGCTGTGTTTTGATACCATGAACCTTCATATCAAATTTCATTAAAATCCATCAAACAATACTAAAGTTATGGATCGGAAACAGGATTCGTAAATGTTTAATGAGCTATGACCTTTGACCTACATACTCCGAAATTGAACTTAGGCTGTGTTTTGATACCATTAACCTTCATATCAAATTTCATTAAATCCGTCAAACAATACTAAAGTTATGAATCAGAAACCAGATTCGCATATTTAATGAGCTATGACCTTTGACCTACATACTCCAAAATTGAACTTAGGCTGTGTTTCAGAGATGCCAACCTTCTTCAACAAAAAAAAGTATTCTTAAGAGCAAAAAACAGTATTTTTGAAAAATCTCTCAACTTAACATATCACCCAATCGAGCAGCTTAAAAAACCTGGCAGTACCACGTATACGTACCCAGATCGGAGCGCGACGTGCATACATTACACGTGGGTTGTTCGCAATGTGCACAGTTTGGGGCCCGTATCACCATCCTGCGTGCATCGTTTGAAGATGTAGGTGCATAATACACTTACGACACAAAGCCCATGATCAGAAATTAAGAAAAACGTCACTAAAAAAAAAAAAAAAAAAAAAAAAATGAAAAAATAAAAAAACGTAACAAAATGTACTGCCGTATTCATGGCGAAAAAACAAAACAGTTGGCATCTCTGGTGTTTTGATACCATGTACGTTCATATCAAATTTCATTTAAATCCGACACATTACTAAAGTTATCGCTCGGAAACCAGATGTGTATTTTTTCGCATATTTAATGAGCTATGATCTTTGACCTACGTACTCCAAAATCAATTTAGCCTGTATTTTGATATCATGTTCCTTCATTCGATTGGAAACAAAATTTGTTACGGACGGACGGACGCACCGACGCACAGCAGCGTTTCTATAAATTCCCTCCCTCCAACTTCGTCGGCGAGGGGATAAGAGGGGATAATAAGTGTGTAGATTAGAGTATAATGCATCTCTATAGAAAATTTGAAAGAAATCTGTCAAGAAATGTGGCAGTTAGAGCACACAAAAGGACAGCCACAAAAATATGGCCTTTTACCCTATAGAAGACGGAACACTAGGGGCAGCATCACCAAAAGATATGGGTGTGTAGATTATACCAAGATACACCTCCATACAAAATTTGAAAGAAATCTGTCAAGGAATGTGGCAGTAAGGGCGCGTTCATGCTTGATTTTGACGGCCAGAATCAGGCATCTGTTACGCGTTTAGTTTAAAACACGATTGCGTTCATGCTAACTTTTGTAGAATCACCGAAAAACGGCGATCACGATCGCTGATCGTAAACTCACAAAAAGATGCGTTTACAATATGTAAACGCGTTTAAATGGGGTCAACGCACTGACCTCTAGTGGGTCTACGTAGCATGCACACACAGGTTTGCGAATCCAGCTGAAGGCCACCCAAGGAGAATTGCCTGGAGAAGTGAGCATGAACAGTGCACCGTGGAACTGCGATTACGATGAGCGTTTAAGATGAGCGTTACAAATCGCTCATTCTGCCTTCAAAATCAAGCATGAACGCGCCCTTAGAGAGCACCCAAGAATATGAGTAGCAGCGTAACTCATACCGGCATACTGCCTGGTCTATGGAATAATGCATGCATTCACGCGTGACACAGTGTGAGAGTGTCTACTTTATTCAAAGCAATAATAATGTACTCCGAGATTGAACTTAGGCTGAGTTTTGATACCATGAACCTTCATATCAAATTTCATTAAAATCCATCAAACAATACTAAAGTTATGGATCGGAAACAGGATTCGTAAATGTTTAATGAGCTATGACCTTTGACCTACATACTCCGAAATTGAACTTAGGCTGTGTTTTGATACCATTAACCTTCATATCAAATTTCATTAAATCCGTCAAACAATACTAAAGTTATGAATCAGAAACCAGATTCGCATATTTAATGAGCTATGACCTTTGACCTACATACTCCAAAATTGAACTTAGGCTGTGTTTCAGAGATGCCAACCTTCTTCAACAAAAAAAAGTATTCTTAAGAGCAAAAAACAGTATTTTTGAAAAAATCTCTCAACTTAACATATCACCCAATCGAGCAGCTTAAAAAACCTGGCAGTACCACGTATACGTACCCAGATCGGAGCGCGACGTGCATACATTACACGTGGGTTGTTCGCAATGTGCACAGTTTGGGGCCCGTATCACCATCCTGCGTGCATCGTTTGAAGATGTAGGTGCATAATACACTTACGACACAAAGCCCATGATCAGAAATTAAGAAAAACGTCACTAAAAAAAAAAAAAAAAAAAAAAAATGAAAAAATAAAAAAACGTAACAAAATGTACTGCCGTATTCATGGCGAAAAAACAAAACAGTTGGCATCTCTGGTGTTTTGATACCATGTACGTTCATATCAAATTTCATTTAAATCCGACTCATTACTAAAGTTATCGCTCGGAAACCAGATGTGTATTTTTTCGCATATTTAATGAGCTATGATCTTTGACCTACGTACTCCAAAATCAATTTAGCCTGTATTTTGATATCATGTTCCTTCATTCGATTGGAAACAAAATTTGTTACGGACGGACGGACGCACCGACGCACAGCAGCGTTTCTATAAATTCCCTCCCTCCAACTTCGTCGGCGAGGGGATAAGAGGGGATAATAAGTGTGTAGATTAGAGTATAATGCATCTCTATAGAAAATTTGAAAGAAATCTGTCAAGAAATGTGGCAGTTAGAGCACACAAAAGGACAGCCACAAAAATATGGCCTTTTACCCTATAGAAGACGGAACACTAGGGGCAGCATCACCAAAAGATATGGGTGTGTAGATTATACCAAGATACACCTCCATACAAAATTTGAAAGAAATCTGTCAAGGAATGTGGCAGTAAGGGCGCGTTCATGCTTGATTTTGACGGCCAGAATCAGGCATCTGTTACGCGTTTAGTTTAAAACACGATTGCGTTCATGCTAACTTTTGTAGAATCACCGAAAAACGGCGATCACGATCGCTGATCGTAAACTCACAAAAAGATGCGTTTACAATATGTAAACGCGTTTAAATGGGTCAACGCACTGACCTCTAGTGGGTCTACGTAGCATGCACACACAGGTTTGCGAATCCAGCTGAAGGCCACCCAAGGAGAATTGCCTGGAGAAGTGAGCATGAACAGTGCACCGTGGAACTGCGATTACGATGAGCGTTTAAGATGAGCGTTACAAATCGCTCATTCTGCCTTCAAAATCAAGCATGAACGCGCCCTTAGAGAGCACCCAAGAATATGAGTAGCAGCGTAACTCATACCGGCATACTGCCTGAGGACACAATTATATATCAGCTGGTGGTAAAAGGGTGTACTGCACCCACATCACACAGCTCTCTGCACTCTTCTCAGTAAAGACAACCATACCCCCCCCCCTCCCCCCTACACACAGGTATAATCTTATAACAGCTGGTGGTAAAAGGATGTACATGCACCCACGTCACACAGCTCTCTGCACTCTTCTCAAACATGACAACCTCCCCCTGCCCCCCTCCCCCCTACACAGTGGTGATAAAAGGGTGTTCTGAACCCACCACTACAGGGAAATGGCGTCAACCGTGGACCAAGTTTAGTACTTGTGTGTGTGTGTGTGTGCGTAGGTAATCACCAGCAACCCCGGACCACTCCATAGAAAACTACATCAAACCACGGACGTACCTCTTATGGGATGATCCAGGTAGAGAGCGCCTCTCCCGCGCAGTCAAAAGGGGGCGCTGTGACATTTCG